GAACGAACGAACGAACGAACAAATAAGATAGAATCACTTACTTTCGGGAGAACTTCACTGAGAGCACATACGAAGCGAACTGAAGAAAAGAATGGCAAAAGTTGGTATCAATTTTTGATTTTCCATCTAAGAATTCACAGGCTCTGTAGAACTCGTTTATAGAATTATTATAGCAAATTCAACATTACAAATTTGATTACCTTCTGACTGCTTTCCCTCACAAGGAAGTCCAGCTCATTTGCCGTCTAGACAACAACAAAAAAAMCAATCAAAATATATCTAATAGCCTTAACCATCGAACAAAAATTTCAATCTTTCTCAAGTAGTGGCTCAATAAGAGCGATGTTATATGGCACTGTTTATCTTTAACAGTTATCCAAAATGATAACCGCAGATTGATAGCCGTACCTTTAGCATTATTTCTTCGCATGTTTGTCGCTTCAGTTTGCCGTAATACCAAGGCGCAGAACCTGAATAAAAATATGTCGACATGAAAACGTCCGTCCGTGCTGCGAGCATTTATAAAGCATGCGGGATGTTGTGTTCTCATGAAGGAGGTGTTAAGAGAAATGGCGGAGTTCTTCTCGACATCTCTCGCCGGAGTGTTCTGCCAATCCCCAAGAGTGCTTTATAACTTCAAACAGCAAGAAAGCAAGTAGTAGTAAGCAAGTTTATTTATTTATTTTTGTTGTAAAATACGAAAAAGAATAACAGTTATTTTGGATACGAATGACGAAAAAGAAAGTGTGCTGTGCTCTCTCATAAAGCACGTGAAGCCAACCATTCAGAATGCGAGATTCATAACAGTTACTTCATGACAGGTGTTATCCCCCCCTCCCCCCTAGTTCCGCCACCCATCAAATACCCTTCAAGTACATACTTGCCAAATCCGAAAGCTTAAGAGACTCAGTTCCTGAAATTGTTTCATAGAGGTCAAGATTGTCTTCTTGAGAACTGCTGCTCCCAGTTGCATCGAAGGATTGGTATCGCCTCTTATCCAGGCGTGGAGCAGGGACCGGTGTTTTGTTGTGTAGTTCTTTCAACTTCTCAGCCATGTCTGGTTTGTCCTCTTGTATGTCACCAACGGACTGTGACCTGCGATTGGCTGGAACAAACAACACTTCTGTTATTGAATTTCGTAGAAATAAAAGTTACACAACGTCTATACTAAACTGGATGAGCTGGTCTATCATCAATGCTGCATTCTGATTGGATGAGCTACTACTAGGCTATAAGGTATATCCTACTAGTACCGAAAAGTGCCGCCTTTGAAAACTAAAACATTTTTTTTTTTTTACATCTTTATATTTGACAAACTAGTTGGATTTGACTAAAACAATTAGTCCTCTCGCCTTCATGGCCTATGAGTCAAAAGCCCTTTCAGGCTTGAATACTAATCGCTAACAAGAGACTATTCTCTTGTTGCTAAATATTAAGTATTAGAGAGTTTTAGATTGACTTTTTTTCTCCCCGCAAACGGCAAACGTTACCACGTTTTCATAGTTTTCCTGTATTCTACTTTACTATTTACAAACCTTCTCATCAAGCGTAAATACTCTTTTGTTTTTCTACTACTTGGACTTTTTTGCGATTCTTTTTCAGTCATTTAAAAGAATTTTTTACTGGTTAACTGACGTTTCACGTTTGCCGTGAACGTAAATCTAAAACTCTCTATTTTCCTTGTTACCCGTCCTTCCAACGCCATTGACGTGTTGTAGGATGTGCTCAGGCACCCATCCTTGGCGAGATGGTTCATCAAGGGTTGACACGTAATAGAAGGAACCATCCTTGATCGTTGCGCGGACTATACATCCTGCTGATATGGGCAAGTCTTCATAGCGGTCAGGAGGGACGTCGTAGTCTGCAGCGGCCTTGAACAAATTGAACTGCGAATGCAGACAAAGTGCTCAGTAGAAACAAAGAGAAAGAGTGACACCAATATGGAAAGGAGGAAATTTCACAGCAAGAAACAAAATGGTCATCAACTTCACCATCATCATCGTCACCAACATCATTGTCAACATCATCATCATTAACATCAACATCATCATCCTCATCATCTTCAAATCATGAAAAACATTGCCATCATCATTAACCCTTGATCATTTATTTCTTGCATTTGTGCATCATGTAAGAGGAGGAGGTAGGTAAAAAAAAACGTATATAAGAAATATAAGGAAAAGAGACAGAAAATGTTATGTATATCTTTTTGTATATCTGTATATTGTAAAGTGTCACGTCTTTGTTTTAAAAGTATTTAATAAAAAAATTAAACAAAATTAAATTTAAAAAAAAAATGTACATCACTAAATCAAATCCTAAAGGACATGCTATGGTTTTAATATGGTATAGCAACTCACCCCGTTGCTCACATTCAAGTAACCATGCTTGACAGGTCCTGTACTTGTGGCCGTTTCCTCTGCAGGAAACTGTGTTTTTGAGTCAACAGGCTCTAAGTATTGTTCTTCCTGGGGGGTGAGTGGAGTACTATCATTGTAGCTGTTTACGAAGCATGGTGGCAGTGTTGGGGCACGATCTTCTTTGACTTCTTCATATGTTCGCTAGATTTGTAGAAGAAAAGAAGGTTGGATTACTAAAGCCACAGGGAACCCAAATTAATTGAAAGTGCTAGGTAAAGATAAAATCTGGAAAACATATCATCTATCAAAACATATTAGAAAAGATGATAATGATGATGATGATTGTTGTCGTTGTTTGTCATTATTATTATTATCATTATTATTACTATGTTATCTATTTTTTATATTTATCAATGTTATCATTATATTATTATTAGAATATTATTTTGCATGCTATATTTTACTTACACATTTCCTCTATCGGCCTTATGGTTGTCTTGTGTATACAATTTAGAATGATTGGAACTTTAAGCTTCTGATGAACTTACCTCTGGATTGCTACTCTTTGGGCTTTTCGATGGTGGAGGTCTGAACGAAAAAGATTCGAAAAAGGTTACTTTGAATAAAAAGCTTTTGGCATGAATAAATGAACAAATGGAATTGAATGAATGAATGAGTGAATGGATGGATGGATGGAAGAGAATGGATGGATAGAAGAGAATGGATGGATGGATGGAAGAGAATGGATGGACAGAAGAGAATGGATGGACGGAAGAGAATGGATGGATAAAAAAGAATGGATGGATAGAAGAGAATGGATGGATGGAAGAGAATGGATTGATGGAAGAGAATGGATGGATAGAAGAGAATGGATGGATGGAAGAGAATGGTTTGATGGAAGAGAATGGATGGATAGAAGAGAATGGATGGATGGAAGAGAATGGNAATGGATGGATAGAAGAGAATGGATGGATGGAAGAGAATGGTTTGATGGAAGAGAATGGATGGATAGAAGAGAATGGATGGATGGAAGAGAATGGATGGATAGAAGAGAATGGATGGATAGAAGAGAATGTATGGATGGAAGAGAATGGATTGATAGTAGAGAATGGATGGATAGAAGAGAATGGATGGATGGATGCATGCATGAATGGATGCATGCATGCATGAATGGATGGATGCATGCATGAATGGATGGATGCATGCATGAATGGATGAATAAATGAACAAATGGGAATGAATGAATGACTCAAAAAATGGATGAATGTAAGAGAATGGATGGATGGATGGATGGATGNTGGATGGATGGATGGATGGATGGATGGATGGATGGATGGATGGATGGATGGATGGATGGATGGATGGATGGATGGATGGATGGGTGGATTGATGGATGGAAGGAGAATGGATTGATGGATGGATGGATAAATGGATGAATGGATAAATAGATGGATAGATAAATGTATGATTGATGCATGTACAATGTGATACCATGCAGTATTTACCTCAGGTGCTTAGGGATAACAGTCGAATACAACACATCACAATTTTCCCTGTTAAGACAAATCAACAATCACATTACATCATGTTAATAGGAAATGATGTCAAGTGAAATCAAGCAATTGAACGTACTCTGTTGGTGATGCAGGAAAACCTGACCTCGGGCTGTCGACTTGAGCAACCGCATACTCAAGAGTTTTCGCATTGTCTGTGGAGATATCATAAAGAGCTAGTATATAGTCAAAGGTGTCTTCAAAGGCATTTTTATGGAGACAACTTCCGTTTGTAATCGATATAAGACAACAGACCTATAAAACTTGGGTTTTAAGACTACAGGGAATTCCCCGCGAAAGTCCTCAGAGAGCCAACGATTTCAGGAAGGATGCTCATGCACACGTTCCACTAAAAAACTGGGCCGAATTATCATTGCAGTACATGAGAATCAGATTGTAGGGCTGTACATACGTCCTAGAGGACAAATTTCCAAGATGGCGGCTATTTATAGTCYCATAAAACAGCCCCACAATGCACTGCAATGCCAACTCGACCCAGTTTTTTATCAACCTCAGGATGGCTAATAGGAACCCCCTCCCCCTTAAATACACTTCCCTGAAATTTATTTTAAGTGTTATTTAAAAATTAAATTGCAGTACCTGGATTTGGAAGTGCTGCACGTGCAAGCTTTTCTTTGCTTGAATCCCTTTGGGAACAAACCATGTACATCAGTACGTTACAATCAAGCTTAGTCACCCATCTTTAAGTACCAAGTTTCACTATTCCTAGCCATCTTCCCCTAAGACGATCCTGGTATAAAATAGTCAAGAGAAGGCCGCAACCCAAACAATATTTCTCTATCTTCTCGACAGATTCTTGAAGCAGAAAACAACAACAACAACAATTATCATCGCTAATCACCACTGCAAAGTACAGCAGTTGCGCAGCTCAACGGGGTTGAACTGAAAGCATGTGAAGGCGCCTCCGGCAGCCGCTATGGTTGGCAATTTAAACAACAATTAACCAAAAATCTCTCAGATCTATCAGTAATCCTTTAAGAAAATACAAACCTTCTCGGTGGTGGTCTTCTCATACTGGCATAGATGGGTCCCACACTTGTAAAAGATGCTCTCTGGATGACAATGAAAAGACAAATAAAAATGTTCAGTATTGATCAGATTCCTTGCAGTTGATTTTACGTCGATCAGTGACGTAGGGGGTCGGATAGCTCACTCTTTCTCAAAGCTATTCTTACCCTGGTCGCTGGTTGGGCGGCAGTATTATAGGTGGGATTGCTAATGGTGATTTCATTGTTTTCCTGCTTTGGTCTCAGGTTGGATGCCGGAGTGACGCCTATCTTTCCATGATACCTATAACACAGTCATTGAGGGATCTATCAGGATGCATCATATATAATCAGTTATTAGTGAAATCATGAAATCTTTGGAAAAAATATCGAAAGTATCGTAGGATCATTAGGATCAGTATCTATAGTACCTGACTTTCCACCAACCAAAACTACTGGTGGCGATAACCTTCATCTCCTCTCCTTTAATGTAACTCACTTCATCATGACTCTGTGCTTTGTAGGATTGAATGGCCACCCACACACCTAAAAAATAACAAACATACTTTATACGACAGCCTTCTAACCCACAGATTAAACCCTGAAGTAAACTGTGGGCTGATCTAGTCAGCTACGCTGGATTAAAAGGAGTCAAACTGAGTGCATTATAAGCGCTATGAACATTAAGCTCACGTGAAAAAACGAATGCGTTGACTTTAAGCGATACTTTCAGGGGGAGGAAAGGGGTACTTCGGAGCACCTTGTACGTTGTGTGGACGGACTTTCGACCCCTTAACCTTTTATTTACCAAAAATGTTAACATATTCACGACTCTTAAAACTCCAGTGTATGCAGGCTTAGCCTCACTACTGAGGTCCGTAAACAAAAGCAGAAATTAGAATAACAAAACAAGCAACTCCTAGATTCGAAGCTAAGCCCCAAGGGCGGATCCAGGGGGAGGGTCGGGGGGTCGCGACCCCCCTGTCATTCCTGAGGTCAAATGGTCTTCCTGTGGTAAAAATGCGACTGGGATTCCTTTGCCCACAAAATTTACCCCTGAGACCCCCCTTCAAAAAACCCTGGATCCGCCCTTGAGCCCGCATACACTGGAGTTTTAAGAGTTGTCAATTCTATAACTAAACTCACGAACTTCCAACCCTTTTTATTTTAGGAAAGGAAAGAAGGCATACTGAGCAATTAATGTTCTGAAAGTCTTTTTACCGGCTACACCCCAAAACGAAAAGCATTATGGAGAATGTGAAAATGGCGACTAAAATAGTGGATACTCACGACAATCACCGTCATAATCGATCCATTCTTCGCACTCAGATTTCCTGTTTGGATCCAAAGGCTCTAGAAACGTTGCAGGTGCAAAACCATGCTGTCCATTATCCTTCGTAACCAGCCACCAACCTTGAAAGAAACTTAAGGTGTTATTTCGTAAAACAGACCCAAATGGCATCGTGGGTTTTTAGTCCTACGCTTTTCTCGTGTTCTCTCAGCATCACGCGTGTTWAGATCAGAGTATCTAAGACGGAAGACTGGTTTATATTTCTTAATTCTCCTTAAAAGACAGAGATTTGAGCTCTAAAGAAAGCCCTTCTCTACCGACCGGCAAGAAAACACGTCATCATAACGTTATAAATCCACAAAATCTTTGATTCCCAAATCCCCATTATCGAAGACTAATAGACTAATTCCATATACTATTAGTGCGAAAAATACTACAGTAAAATGGCTTCCAGACCCTGCGAAAGTTCTGATAAATGATCCACAGAACCCATTTCACACAGAAATCGCGGAGGGGAGTGGGGGCCTGAGGGTATTTTCCAGAGACACTCCCCAAAAAATTACAAAAGATTTTTGTACTGGCAGATTGTCAGAGTCTTTACGCCTCTTCTCCCCATCCTCTCTCCTTCCCTCCCTAACCGCCAATTGAAAACTCTAGCGTCGCACTAGCGCATGCCCTTCTCACTCAAACCAGACCTCAATACCCTCCCTACCTGTCTGATTCTTCTCTATCACTGTCAATACTTCATTCTCATCCAAGTTCATCTCTCCACTCGATGAGGCCTTGTAACTCGCCATCGTTCTGTACTTCTCGACTAAGTTATCCTTGGTTTGTTCCCCAGGCAAAGAGTTTCGTTCGAGCAAGCCTCTTTTGTGTCTGTCTTGGTAGACTGCATCTGTACCCCATTCACTGAAAAACCTTTCTACGATGTCTGATTCGGACACCAAGGAAGGGAGACGAATGATTCGCTGTGGAAATAACAAACCAAGTTATATGAGTTTACTGAGCCCGCCGAGAAATAAATAGATAGATAGACTTGGTAACTCAATCAGTAAAATAAAAATTGCTTTACTAACTATAAGAATTGCTGATTTACTCTGCTAATTTACTCTGTGATAACTAAGGCCCCGTCCACACGTATCCGGAAATTTTTGTATCCGCAATTTTTTTTTTGCGGATACGGGTTGCGTCCACACGTTTCCGCAAATTTTTGTGTCCGTATCCKCAAATTTTACGAAAACGGATACGTGTGGACGGTGAAAACGATTCGAATACGCTGCGTGTGAACGCAAACATTTTCGTATTCGCAAAAAATAATTTGCGGATACAAAAATTTCCGGATACGTGTTGACGGGGCCTAAAAGACGGACAAACAGAAAACAAAGAAAAGATTGGGATATTCAGATGTCTTTACCTGACAAAACTCCTCTATCACCTTACTCTCTTTCTTTGCTAATGATGAAAAGAGCATGGCCCCACGAAACTTTGGAACTGTAAAATAAATAAATAAATAAATGAATAAATAAATAAATAAATAAATAAATAAAATAAATAAATAATACCATGAATATATATAGAATATGATGATGACCATCATGACACTGAAGCAACACTATTGCATGCCCCTACAAAAGGAAGCTAATTTACCTGGAAGTTCAGGGATTGTGATACTTGGGTTTCCCTTGTAGATTTGCTTCAAGCCACCCTGAAGAGGAAAAATGAATGGAAAATGAAACTCCACCCAGGATGACAACTGATTTTCAATGAAAATGTCGTTTGATAGACTAGTGTTGTAGATTATTACAATTTTATGAAATTTTATAGTATTTATTTCTGTCATCTAAAAAAATATTTTTTCACATCTGACACCATTATGAGTCAAGTGAAAAATTACTTAGACCTAGGGCAAACGTCGAACTTTCCATGCACCGAACTCATTAAAAACAATGGATATCAGGTGATAATGAGGCTGCATTCTTTGATGTAATTAAGTGCGGTGCATGGAAAGTTCGACGTTTGCCCTAGCCCTTACAGTATTTACTTGCTCAAAATATTTTGTTGGAATATTCAGTTCAGTCACTTTTAAGAATATAAATAAATAAATTGGATTTAACAGTGGCATTTCCAGAGAGTGGCTTTTCGATCATCCACTGAATTACATTTGGATTTTAGAAGTTCATTTTTGTGGAGGGTGGAAATCCAGAAGAAAACCCTCGAAGCACAGGCGAGAACCAACAAACAATAGGGACCTTAAGCTGCAGGATGGCAACGACGACGACGACTGCAAACATACAATAGCACTAATTGCACTATTCAATAGATACTCGTTGGAATGTACGAAATACTGTGCATCATTGCCGTCTTATGCTGAAAGTAAGACGTAAAATGTCCTATTTTTACGTACGGCTACGCCAAAAGCTTATCTTTGCTAATTTTCGTTAAAGCGCTACCAAAAGACGACATTTCACTCTAAAACGGGGATGCTTATTGAGTAAAATACTAGGTAAACACGAAATAATAATACAATAGAAGTTTGAAACGCTTCAATTTCGCCGCCGTTGTCGCCCACGTTAATATTTATGTAGCCAACGAAGTCAAACACCTCGAGGGAGAGTTGGGGGTTTGTCGTCATTCCCTAGTGGATGATGTCATCATCACAGCGGAAGTAATTATAGGATTCTTATATGGTAAAGAGGTTAAATCTTTTGGAACGAGCCGCGAATAAACACGCAAAGGACCCACTGGAACAGGCCTCAACAGCTAAATTATCATCATACAGCTAATAATGATTATAAAAAAAATTCGAGAAATTCATTAAGAATTCGTTTGAAATTCTTTTAAAATGCCGATCAACTCTGATAGCACAGAGATGTGAAACTTTGGTATTGTTATTTATCATAAAAGGCTGTTTAAATAATTATTGCCGACGAATTACATTATAATGATTCCTAAAGAAATTGAAACGGCTTGATATGCTGAAACAAAGCTAGGCTTGAAGACTACATTTCGCTATATATAATGAATTTTGCTTTCATTTTCAGTATTGTAATTCGCCAGACAAAAACCCTAGATATAATTGTCATTGTCGTTAGAATCGTTAATAACTGAAGTTTCAATTTAATTTTAAGATAAAAAAAAACTTTTGGTTTAAAGATAACTAAGCCCTATAGTTGTATTTTTAAAAAGGTAGTAAAATTTTACCCCGGTATGTGGAAGGACTGACAAATAATTTTGATGTTTGGTTAGTCCAGCTGGCGGAAACATGTAATAAAATATCATCCCAGATGATCAGTTTGACCTCATAGTTAAAGTTTACTATCCATTGAACCGTTTCGCTGATGACAATTCTTGATAATTATTGCACATGTAATATTCTTACCTGTAGGTCGAAAAACATGCTGTACTGTCTTGCGATAATCTTCTGGTCGCCATTAGACCACTTGACAATCAGCACGAACTCCTGTTTAATAGCCCAACAAATCAACCAGAAATTAAAAGAATTATACTTTCCGAATTAATCGTATTATATTTATACTATTGCAGTTGGATGAAGAATAAAGTTATTTTATTAAGCAAGTTAAACGAGAAATGTTATGATATCTTAAAAGTTATATGGTTTACGTACCAAGTTTTTGTCCTTTCGTTTTTCAATTCCTTGAACTTTTACTTCAACGACAAGAGACTTTACGCAGTTCATTTGTGATGGCCTCATTTTGTCTCCTGACTTAGATTTCAACTCAAGTCAATCGCATCTTATACTACTACTAATATATGGTGCCAAAATATTAGAAACCATATCTGCTGAATCAAAAATTGACTGTAATCATTACTGGAACACTAGTGGTCAGACGTAGAGGACTAGAACAGGATATTGATGTTGATTTTGATGAATAACCAACTAACCGTAGCTGAATGAATGGAGAGCTATGGAGGAGGAGTCAAATGAACCGATGAACCGCGATGACAGATCGTCAACCATCACTTCAGGGGGAGAGGGCTGCTGAAGGCAAAAATATACCGAAGTAGACTAATAAAGAAAAGTTGCTTATCAAATAAAAAAAGGGCCGAAAACTTACAAAACGAACTTCAAAAATTGGATTACATCTAGTTCAAGGACGTTGCAAATGAGGGAAAGTCCGAGCCTAGTTCGATAGTGGACAGGAGGTTTTTTGGTTTTAGAAAAAATGAGGTAAAAACAATGAAAAAAGCTGCAAAGGAGGATAGGAGTAGATCAGGAATAACCCGGGCGACAAGGCCAAACTTTGGTCAACCGAGTTTACTCAAGACTGTCGAAGTCTTTCGAGGGGACATCCAACAAACCTCTTGACCCATTTCCTCTCAAATATTTTTATTTCGTAACTTATCGAACCCATATCTCTGAAGTCCTCAGTCACTCTCGATTCATCTCAGGGGAATTACCTACTCCGGGTGTGGATAGAAATAATATATTCACATTCATGGTGCAACCGCTAAATATGACATAAGATTTATGCGCGCGGTTCAATATTAAACATTTACTATCTAACCACACGCAAATATTCCCTGCGTAATTAGTCGAATGATTTGGAAATCGAATTCAATCGTATGAATGGATTCGATTGCATTCGGCAATCGAACGAAATCGAATGCTGAAAAAATTATGAATTCCATAGCATTTGATTTCAATCGAACGTAATGGAATGTCCAAGTACAAGAAACAAATTATTATTGATATCAGTAAAACTAATTTCAGTATTTCAAGATTCGATTTTCCCCACCCTATTCCTATCTTCCCAGTAAGAAGTCTTTTTCAAAACTAGAATCTTTCTAAGTTTCTATTAATTTATAATTTCGACAAGTTAACTTTAATGATAATGTATAATGTTATGGAATTGGTTTGTCGTGTCTGTGTTTGTATCTGAAGAGAACTCCGTTCACTGGGGGCCGACGTACTTGATATCAAAAAACATTGAGCTCCCCCAGGTAGACACGGGAAACAACATTCATTGATTTATGGTTCTGGAATACTGACTTAGAACCCCCCAAGTAGGCACGGAAAACAATTTCGATTTATATTTCTGGAATACCAACTTAGTTTCCTCTCTCTCTTACCCTCCCCTCCCCCCTACCCTGCGAGTAGAGGCTGTTTTTCCTTCTCCTCCGTAACGTAGGGCTGAATGACAGGCTGGTACCAAAATGGAGGGCAGGAAAAATCCTCTGCTAGCAGGCTAACCCTCTTCTCAATTTCGAAATTGGTAAACAGTGACAGCACACTACGGAGCTATAATCAAATGCTGTGTTTTGTATTTGAATGTGTTTAAAGTGCTTATTTACATATATTTTTGTTTGTCAAATAAACATATCCCACATAGCTTATGCTACAGATAAGGTGGCTTATCAGCTGATACCGCACATGGTACGATACGGTACTGTAACGAACAACTGTCACGCGATCCCACGGTTTCGTAACGATATGCCTCAATCAAATCACTAACAAAAACACATTATTGTCACAGTAAGAACGTACACGGTAGCGACTAGTGGCATTGGTTACGTTGATGTCACGCTATTGCCTACAGTCAAGGTACGAGCCCATGATGGTCAAGCTAGCTATGAGTTAACGACAGTAATGACACAAGAGAATCATGTTAACAACACAAAACAACAATACCATCACGGTAAACACACAGTAGAACTGACATTGGTCACGCTGTGGTCACGTTACGGTCACGCTAATGCGGAATAAGGATTTTCAATATTAATGGCAGCTGTTATAAGATTATTACCGGGTTACCTGTGATAAACCGGTCATTCTCCATCAAGCAAAGATGTAGTAAAAAATATCAATAGACCCCTTGCATGTGACGTCAAAGCAGCTTAATTTGGAGGACAAAACAAAAGAATTTCAATCTCATGAGAATTGGAAACCATCATTATGTCATCCAAATTGAGCTGCATACCCCTGCAAGGGGTCTATACGGTAGCCTAGTTTAATAAGACTATCATATTGGTGGTATTTTAACAAAATATTCTTCTCATTAGCCTCCAACATGGCCGCCATCAGAAGTTCATAACTAGACTAGTTATGGACTTCTGCCACCATTTGTTTATCATGTGACTCGAACTATCTCTGAATAATAATAATGTTGGTGGTATTCAAACAAAATATTTCTCATTAGCCTCCAACATGGCCGCCATCAGAAGTTCATAACTAGACTATTTATGGACTTCCGTCACCATGTGTTTGTCATTTGACTGGGATCTCTGAATAATAATTCTCTATAAATGTTGGACATTTCTTGGCCGGTTAAAAGAGTAGAATCCGTCTTTCCACCGGTTTTCTACACATTGGACATTCTTGCATCCTGTCTCCACACAGCTGGCACGTGCCGTGTCCACACAGGAATATCAGGTTCTTTCGTCTGTCCATGCATACTGGACACATGGTCTGGGAATAGAAAAACATTACAATATTGAGACCTTCCTCAAATATTGCATCCTCTTCCGGTTTCTGATTGCAAGGGCTACGCAACCACCCTACTCTTATAGACCCTTTGCATGTGACGTCAAAGCAGCTCAATTTGGGGGACAAAAAAGGAAGAATTTCTTGAAAATCTCCTGAGAATTGGAAACCTATTTCCTCCAAATTGAGCTGCATTCCGACGTGCTGCAAGGGTTCTGTAGGGGATAGTTGCTAACGAGAACAGTAATGGTTGTCAAAAATCCATATTCTAAATTCAAAATTATCCCAACTTCTATTCACTAATAACGAGCTTTCAACTCACGAAGTTAATTCTAGCAACGACTACAAAGTTGTTCACGCTATAAAATTGCGAGAATGAGTCCCAATGCTACGATAGATGATTTCTTGAACAAGTTCTCGTAGCAAAATTGCGAAGCAAATTTCGAGGAACATTGCGTAATGTAACAGAGTATAGAGCGTTTGCGCCACCACGTGATGGCGGCCATGACAGGACGCATGAACAATTGAATCTGGTCTAATCTGAGCAATGATTCAGTTTCCCAGAGGAAAAGATTCTATTGTTGTTTCTCCTGTCATGGCTGCCATCACGTGATGTTGCAAAGCCTCTTTTCTCATGAATAGCTTTTGGAAATTGTGTGGGATCGATTTAAGAGTGTTGCGCTCACCTGTTCTTTCATATCTTGCAGCTGCTGCTGTAACTGTGTCAGATCTTGCGTGCTGATCTCTTGTTTGTTGGACGCTTTTTCGGACAACGGTGAAGGAGCTACCAGAGGAAAAGTAGTTATGAATTTGCATTTACATCTATCGGTAAACCAGGAATTGACTTTATGGGGATATGAAACAAGCTCTGAGACTAGTGCATTTTAATGTAGGTCGTCAAGCCACACGGTAGTGAGTGAGTTTTTCAAGCGTGTGGGCTACCTGTGTTGCAGTCTCCTACGCAGCCGCTATTAGTGTCGTCACGCAACGCTCCCTCCCATAGAAAGAGAATACTCTGATGCTTATTCTATAAAGACCTTCCGCTGTCATATACCTTGTCGTGCAAAGAGACCTCACCTTTTCCTCCACAGCAGACGATAAACGGTACCATCTCCTCGATGTCTTCACGGCACTGAATACACTTTTTCATCAGAGAACCGCAGACTGAGAATCAAGATTATCAACCATTAAACTTGAGGTATAGGATCATGCAGCAATGATGAAAACAATGTTGATGACAACAGTGACGGATTTAGAACGATTTCGGGGGGTGGGGGGGGGGGCAATTCAGAACGATTTCAAGAGGGGGCACTTTTACCTAGAAAGGCTTCACATAGCGTCCTTTATTCTTATTTTCCAACTCCAAAGGGGGGATGGCTAGTCAACAGATTCAACTCCCTTGGATCCATCCTTGGAGCAGTAATAACGACAGACCTTTTCTGATATAGCGAACATGGTGCATTGTGTTTTAGCATCGGTACGAACATCTGATGCCTTGTATGGTGTTGTTTGTACACAGGCTAGCTCACAATGTTTCCTTTTATCGAAATCAGAAAAAGTTCTATTGAGAAGATGTTAACATAATCTTGATGATCTGGAATGATTTTGAGATCGGTGGATACRCACAGCCGAAATTCTGCTTTCTATGGGGGACCAACCCCAAAAAATATCAAACAGAAATCGTATCTTTAACCACATGGATAATGGATATTATGTAAGAACATGCGTACTAGGTAAATCACGAGCCTTGTATGAAACGACTGAAGAAGAGGGCCAATGGGCCTTTCACAACTTCAAGTCGCGTATATTGAGCCAGCTCAACTAGAAACCGTGGACAGCTGTTTCGGGCTGTATTGGGCCTCGTCAGCACGGTGTATCTAGTGAGCTGGTAGAATCCCACAAAAAGTAGTACATGAGAGGTGAGGCAGTAAGCCGTGTGGGATGGGCTCGGAAAACATATAAGAACATGCGTAATAGGTAAAGTACGAGCCTTGTATGGTTATTATGGGTAATGATGGCGGGTATAATGGGGGATGATAATGAGGTCCTACCTTCACATGCAGATATATGTCCACAAGGTTTGAATAAAAGATTGGCCTTCCTCTCTGAACAAACCATACACTCTTCGATCTGTATTAGCAACAACGAGGATATTTATTTTGTTAAATTAATGGCAACGAATTCATAGAGCTTTTATGTGTGACGTCACTAATATGAAAGAAAAAAAAAAAAGACTTCCGGGTCCAAAACAACAACTTTTTTTCGTGACAGGATTCGTGCTCCAAAGTTCTAATTGTTTCAGATGGAAGTTATATCGATGACAAAATTTCTCAATTTATTTTAGCGCTATTTATGAGCAGCTGGACCCGGAAATACGTCACAACTTGACAACTCGATTGGTGCAAATATTTGTAACGAACACTTGACGAACCTAGACGCCAACATGGCCGAAAGCTGGGTAATAATCCCCAAAAATCTAACGTAGATAAGGCGTATTTTTTAATTCCAAATGAATGATGATGTTGACAATAATGAGTTTTGATGGTGATGATGACGATGATTCAGTGGTGATGATGATGATGGCGATGACTACAGCTAGCGGAGAGTAATATGTATGCATAAGTAATCCAAACATATAAAGAGGCAAGCCCCCAATATCGTACCCAGAGCCCACGTTCCTCTTGGTCAGCACCGAGAATCGTTTCTCGGGCTGACCAAGAGGAACGSGGGCTCTGGGTACGAGATTGGATAAGCCCCTAGTTACCTTGGTCCTTGATTGCACCGGTTCTTTACACATCAGACATTTCTTTACCCGAGGAGAGCACAGTGAGCAAGTAGTCACGTGGAAACACGGTCCAAACAGCGTGTCTCTCTTGTTGTCCGAACAAACCACGCATTCTTGTAACGCTTCTTCGTTGATTTCTGTTTGAGATATGTTTAATTGGTTCTTGGCGATCCTAATGAAACACAATTTTAGCAGAACTTGAAATAACTATAGAATACGATGCAAGATTTTTAAGGTGGACGAGATAAGCCTTGGGCTCCCTCGGGAATAGCGTAACACAGGTGACAAATGAACAAAACGAACAGTGCTTAAAATTTCAGAAACGGTCTTTTTGCCTTGGGCGTTTTGTTTTCCTATTTCAGACCACGTGCCATTCTCTTGAGAATAATGTTTTTTGCTTGAGTTGTACTATCCATATTCATGTATTCTGATGCGCATTTGTTAAACAAAGAAATAATACTATAGGGAATGACAGAGTTGGTTGATATTTTATTGCGTAGCTTGACATTCCCCATGACGATGGGTTAACAATCCGAAAGCTTGTGATTTTCGAAATAAAACTCAAGGTAGAAGAAACAAAAATATTTCAAAGATTGATTGATGAAGGTACTAACCCCTTATCCTTGCGGCATTTAGCAAGTGCTTTACAAAGATTGGGGTCTGGGCACAAGTCCAGAGGTGTCTGTCCTTTGCTGTTTTTCATAGTCAAGTCGGCGCCATTAGCAGCGAGAAACAGTGCTATTGATGCGCTACTCTTCTTGTCTGTTCCCTGGGTACCTAACCCCATTAATAACTGAAGACAAGAAATAATAAACCAGCAGATCAGTATTAGTAGACTGTTAAAAGCCCAGCAAATTTCTTTCATTTTAAGCATAGCTTTGCAAGAGTTGGGATTTTGGCACCCACCACACCTTAAAGGCTACTTTTCAAAACTAGATTGGTTTCACTTCCTGTGCTCATTTCTGGGCCCGGTTGTACGAAGGGTGAATACGGATATCTGACAGATAAATCCTTGTCCAGTGGATTAGTGGATGCTGGTATCCAATAAATTTATCAACTGGATCAAAGATTTATCAGTCGGATAGTGCTCCACCCTTCGTGCAACCGGGCCCTGGCTGACAGAACTTGGCGGTCACTTTTGACGTACCATTTGGGGAAGATAATGACTTCCAAAGACTTTTACCAGCTGAATGAAATCCAGCAATGGTGCCCAACGTTGCAATGGCACGTAACACGACATATCAATATATCAACCCCCTGAGAAGTCAACAATTATCTACTGCTAAAAAAATAAAAATAAAAAAGAGAGAGAAAAGACCTTTCAAGAAATTACCTTGCCGACATCTTGCATGTCCTGTAGCTGTCGTAGCTGCGATAATGTATGGTGCCTCAATGCTTCGTGAAGAGGAGTATCTCCATCTTTGTCTTGGATATCAAGTTTACACCCCTCGCGTACAAGCAGCTGTAAAAAACAATGTACACCTTAAAGCCTGGTTCTTATTAGCGACGCTAACGACGCAAGCACAAACGCAAGCCAACGCTAGAAAAACAAAATCTTTCGTTCCCTTGCGTCTGCGTCACTTTTCATAGAGAGAACATGGAGTTGCGTCTACTTGCGTCACATCCTAGATTGGTATCCAGGGACACGAGACTGTAAGCCTGGTTCTTACTAGTGATGCTAACCGACGCTAAAGCATAAGCATAAGCGTAAGCCAACGCAAGAAAAACAAAATCTTTCGTTCTCTTGCGCTTGCGTCGCTTCTTTTCATAGTATCGTATTTGTAAAAGTATCTATTTTTATCGGAATCTGATTTCTACTTACTCTAACTACTTGAGTATGTTGTCTTTCCACAGCTAAATGCAGAGGTGTTTGTAGATTGCCATTCTGTACGTCCTTGTTAGCCTTACCCTATAATTGCGCATGAGAAGACACATGAATACGACTCAAACAAAAAATCTGAACTGAAGGGCGAAGAGTAAAAATTAACAATTGAAGGCTTTGCACCGTCACGTCATGGCAGCCATGCAGGAGGTACAATTATAGTCTTTTTTCCCTAGTAAACTGAATTCTCTCATGCCAACCAGCTTAGACCAGATTTAATTGTTCCTTCCTTCTGTCATGGCTACCATGCATCCCGTAACGGTGCAAATCCTCTTTTTACATTTTTACAAATTTCTTGCGTACTGATTGGCTATTTTTTTATCAACAATAAGAGGACAGACAAATAAGTTGACGTCAACAGGCGCACGCTCTTTGACACTAAAAACGATACGTTTTTATCGTTTTTGTCATTGTAATACGCCTCGTGGATCCAAACTATTTTGACCCTGTGAAGACGCAACTTATCGTCATTAAGAGGACAGATACATAAAAAACTGATGTCAGTTTTGTTAAATATTGTTAAATATACGCAATCCATATTGTGGCCAAACCTGTTTGACAAGTAGTTCAGCAACTTCCACGTGGTTGTTGAGTGACGACAGGTGTAAAGCTGTATAACCATCGTCTTTCTTTTCGTTGACAATCCAAGGACGAGGAAGCTTGTCCAACAGTATTCGYATCGCGCTAAGATAACAAAACAAAATATCAACTGGATTTGCGCCGATCAGTTCAATTGAAATGGTTTTGTTTGCCTCTGTTTATACATACGTCATTTGTATTCTAACGAAAATATGGTGCACATGGACGCAACCCAAGTTAACAATAGCTGACCTTACAAGAATGGGCGGATTTGGGGGGGGGGGGGGGGGGGGGGGTTAGGTTCAATAATCCGCGAGCCCACTCTAGTTTGGCCTCATTTTAGTGTACCAATATTTACGAATTCCGACGGTTAAGTAAAGAATGCATAACTTGAAATATACAAACACTTTGAAATTCCACGAACCCTGACAAGTGCTTTATTATAACGGGATTCCTACATTAAGCCAGAGTTTCAAGAGTTTATTTATCTTGCACCATATATGAAAAATTAAGCCAACAAAATATACCTTGGATTTCCCCGTAGCGCAGCATGGTGAAGAGAATTAAAACCATTATTATTAGCAATGGAAACGTCTGCACTCGATTCTAGTAGCATAGTAACCATATCATCTCTCTTCTTGGAGATGGCGTCGTGTAACGGCGTGTCACCCTCAGAGTCCTGCGGCATAGATCGTATATCGAGTGAGAAATGGCATATAGAGGTTTTGCATCATCACATGTCCATGCACATAGTACAGCTTGGGCTGCCTGTGGTTAGATGGCAGAACAATAGAGTCCCTTTGCTCTTGGGAATTGAATTCTTTCTCGTGTAAAACGATTGTATTGTTCCCGCCATCTAACATGGCTGCCATCACGTGATGGTGCAAAACCTCTATTGATGGTGCAAAACCTCTATTGTACGGTCACGGTGAAGTATTTGACATTATTCGTAGAACCAATCAGAGCGTGAATCGTCCTCGTTTTATGAATGTAGCTCTAACCAACCTGTGACCCTTTTTCCATGATCGATTTGGAATTTCAAAGTTGCTTTTTTTTGCGGAGGGAGGAAAACCAGAGAACCCAAAGAAAAACTCTCAAACCACTAGTCCAGAACTGGATCCACTTGTAAAATGCCGCTCGCGCACGAAATACAAAGACAACTGAGAAAATTTATCACTACTCGGTTCGTCTCTGCCGCGCGCGCATCGATAAAAGTGGGTCCAGCTCTGGACTATAATAGCCTGCGTGCAGCCGAACGTAACTGTTAAGTCCGACTATACGAGAAAAAATTCCGGCTGCACGCAGGCTAGACTATAGAAGCACTGGAGTGAACCTACTAGAAACTCTATTCACATACGTAAGACAAAAAGTCCGGCTGCACGCAGGCTAGACTCGAAGCACTGGAGTGAACCTACTAGAAACTCTATTCACATACGTATGACAAAAAGTTCGGCAAACGAACCCGGGTCCGTGAGAGGCGAGCATTTTCACCGCTACGCCACCCATACCCATGCCTTAAGCACAGGTTAGCCCTCTCGTTTCTCGGTGCTGACCAAGACGAACTTAGTCTCTGGGTACGAGATTGTACCCTCTCATTCCCCCTAGGTAGAAATTATTTTTTCTCCAAGGTTATATATTACAGACCATTACCTGTAAACTAGGATGAGCATGGAGCTTTAATAGTGACTTTACGACAGATATATGGCCTTTATTAACGGCCACATGTAAAGGAGACTGGCGACGCTTGTTCCTGGCATTAATGTCTGCTCCTGCAAGAACTAACTGCTCGACAACACCAGACTCGTCACCAAATGCTGCATGATGGATGGCTCTATCGCCATCTTTGTCCTAGAAAGACGAAATAGATAAATAAATAAATAAATAAATAAATNATAAATAAATAAATAAATAAATAAATGAATAAATAAATAAATAAATGAATGAATAATATTTAATAAATGAATAATATTTAATAAATGATTATTAGATCGCTGCCCTGTTTAACTTAGCAAGGCAGTAAGAAATGTCAACACAATGCAAAAATACAAGGAAATTTACCTCCTTTTCTAAATCAGCTTTGTAACGCAATAAAACTCGAACAACGTCTTCGTGTCCATTTTGACTAGCAGCTTGGAGAGCTGTATGACCAGCAAAGACACCATTCGCCTGAATCCAACAAATAGCATCGTTAGGAACCCAAACTTAATATCAAAGCAACATTTAAAAAAAAAATTTTGTACTTTTTAGGAAAGCTGGAGCAAGGAAATTTAAGGTCGAAAATGTACCACACACTGAAAAAGTTATGGCATGGTATACGGTACTGAGTCAAAGAAAAATGGAATGCACCCTATCCTGGAGCACAGGTTATATTTCTTCCATCCATAGGGCTGGGTGGCTGGCTGGTCGGCCAGGTTGGGCAGAAAAGACCTTTGTGAGCAGGGCAAATGCACCCTGTAGGTTTGTGAGTATCAAAATCAAATGCTGGGGCATGAGAAGGAGACCTATTTCATACTGACGCTCACCTATCTCACACTTAGTTTTGTCCCAGTGAACTGTATTTACCTTACATTACTGTGCTTAATACAGACACCCTGTTAATACAGATACTTTCTCTAGTTCCTTTGGGTGTCCATAAACGTCTGATCTTCAGCTACATATGGGGTATCTACCCATTATGTTACACCCAATCTGAGGCTGTGTTGATATGTGACTGTGCTACTTACATCTACATCAGTCTTGCTCATCAGTTCCTCAATGCTCGACGTGTCTCCATTAGCAGCAGCCTTCACCAGTTCTTCTACCGCATCACCTGACACATGCGTCTCAAATAGCTTCTTGAGGAGAACGGACAGACGCTCTGGGATGAGAAGAATGAGAATTTTTAATCTAATTTCTACATTATAATCATTAATCATTATTATAATTTCTCATGCTTTCAGTTCGACTCCGTTGAGCTGCCCCACTTCTGTACTTTGCAGTGGTGATTAGTGATGACAATTTTWAAAAAAATCTTATTTCATTTTTTTTATCACAACCACTACTTTCATCATTATCGCTATCACCAGTATCCCTTTTCATAAATACATCCCTCTACCATCATCATCACTATTTCCCTTACCTCCTGTCACCAGTAGATGCATTAGGTATTCATTATTACCATCATAATTATCACAGCCACTACTTTCACCTTCATCGCTATCACCAGTAACCCTTAATTATTAAATTTATATCCCTCCACCACCATCATCACTATTTCCCTCACCTCCTGTAGCTTCCCCTAGGGATGTAGAGTCACCAGTAGATGCTACCTTGGTTGCACACAAGGGATTGTAGGTCCATGAGGTTCCACAGATCTCAACCTGCAAACATGACCAAATGATATTGTACAAACTATTCCTCCATGGAATTTTTGGTGTCACCATAATTCCTAACTAGAGATACACTTATGATTTAATTACAATTTTTTACTATAAAGTTACTTCAATCCTAGAGATCTAGACTGCAAACATAGCTGATACACTGTCATTGCAGTCAGTGCATAACATTGTTTGGGGGGAGGGGGGGCAGGGCTATTCTGCCTGTAGCTCAGCACCATAGCATTTATAAATCTGGCAAATTGCCATAATTTTGTGCAAATGAGAATACCTTTAGGTCATTGTCATTGTAGATCTGCTGTACTCGTCCTATTTTACCCAGAGTCTGTGGAGAAATACAAACATGTTAGGTCTACTTAATGAGATGTGTTCATTTATGAACTGAGAGAATAGACTGTGTTCAGCAATTCTCAGAGCTGTTTAACTCAATGAAAAAACAATGAATTTCAGTCCTCCAAATTGGGCTGTATTTGGAATATCCTGTAAACAACGACAACAATGAATGTTTATTTGTACCATCCATAACAATTACAAATTATATAGGATTAATGAGAGAAGATAAAAGGTTTAGGTACTAGTTCTCTGTATCAACCATAAGTGCTAAATTGCAGTTTTAATATGCAGTTTTTAATATGCAGTTTTTCATACATGTAGGCAGTAAAAATTATGATATTCTCAGTAAGAAAAAAAACCAGACAGCCATTTTACGTTATGCAATTTAGAAAAGGAAATGCTAGCAGTCAGGAGGTACAAATAACAGTTAGCTATAGTCTGTAGTTAAGGTACAAAATTATACACGCAAAAGGAGTGTATTATTGACTTACAGGGATCATTGCCTCTGCCCATTCACCATGTCCTCTTTGCCACACCTTGACTCGTTCCATGTCATTAGTGACTTGAACCAGATCACCCACAGCGAAAGGCGATGGACTGGTAGAGGATCCTGTTGACGTGTTTGACACTGATGGCTGTAATAATGGCTCAACAGAAGAAGCACTGCTGTCAGTAGAGGTTGAACTACTTGATTTGGTCAACACACCTGGGTTGAATGTCCATCTAGAAAAACAATAGAGTCAAATTTTTGAAAAATAACCGGGATTAATACGAATGAGAAATACACAAAATATACAGTGAGGTTAGAATTATTGTAAGCTTACAGCTGCCTCTCGATCTCAAAATTATGAATCACCTTTATCGATTTGCTGCACCATCATCAGCACCACCACCACCACCACCATTATAATCAAAACCATCACCATCATCAACGCCATCATTATCACCACCATCATCACCATCAATATCATCAGCAGCAGGAGCAGCAGCACCATCCTCATCATTATTCCAACCACCATCATCAACATCACCACCACCATCACCATCATCATCATCATCATCACCAGCATTAGCATCAGCAGCACCATCATCACCTGCAGCAGCTAATCACCAGAGCCCAGTTGTACGAAGCCTGGATAGCCCTATCCAACGAATAAATCTTTTCCAGTGGATAAATTTATTGGATAACAGTGCTATCCAGGCTTTGTACAACCAGGCCCAGCTGCATAAAATCATAACCATTGATATCATCATCACCACCATCATCATCATCAGTACTGCCTACTGTATTTTGAGCTTTTGGAATACCTACCTGTTACCACTGGGATAAAGGACCACAATGTCATGATCTTCATCAATACCAACAACTGTACCTGCGGTTGTCAATGTCTGAAATAAAATAAAAAACTTAGCATCGAGAAGGTGAAGAAATCAGTGACAGAAACGAAACAAAAAAAATGCTGTAAAGCATGATCATCTAATTTGAAGGGCTAAAGATAATGAATGGCAAATGACTGGCAAAGCATAGATTTGACCAGACAAGTTCCAATTCTGGCTAGACACCAGGCATTATTCATGGTTCTGCTCTGCTTATTTACCATTGCTATGTCCCACAAGATGAACAAAATGAGCTAGAATATCTCAGAATTTAAAATTCTGATTGTGGCAAATTGCTCATAAATTGTTTCTTTTGTTTACTGTCCTTTGAAAATAAAGTAAAATTTCCTCATAGTCCTTATATTACTTGTTAAGACAGATATTGTGTAGCTGTTTGTGGGACAAGATTTTAATTCCACTGGGAAAACTGTGGCAACGGTGATTGGTTGGCTATTTTCTGAGGGGGAACCATGATTTTTTAGACCTGAGTTACAATATGAACTAACCTCATACATGCCATCTGTCCATCCACCATGACCATGCTGTAGAGACTGGACAATCTCAAGGTCAAGATCAACAGTTACTTGGTCACCAATTTGTAAGCCTTGAGCGGCAGTCTGGCTTCCTGGTCGGTTATCACCTGATGAAATGATCATAATAATGTTTTAGCTGCCAAGTAAAGTAGACTTCACGTGGTGTATGCAGGACATAGGACAATGTCCGGTCAGAACTGGGAGTTGTCAGGTCAAATATTTGCTTTGCTGGTCATTTTGACCAGTAACGCTTAGCCAGTAACGTTTAAAACTAATTTGGCCAGTGATCATAACCCGCGACTTATTGGCCATTATTTTAAGCCTYGTGTATGAAAGCCATATCAAAGCACATAGTTTTCATAAATAATAGAACTGGCGATATCTATTTATTGGTCATTATATCACTTGAGTAAAATTGCTTCCCATCCAAACAGAATGCTGGAAAACAACGTCATGACTGTGATTCAGCACTGTTTATCAATACAATATACAATACAATACAATATATATTATATTTACATTCTTTTTTACATTTTTAAAATACTAAGCTTCTAATTACAAATTAATCGGTTAATTACATTTTTCTTTTCTCATATTTTTGTTATTAGTTAATTTTTTAGAATGTCAGTGTCTAATTTAACACTTAGTTTTYGAGTTAGACGCTGTCATTTGTAATTGTTTTTTTATCAAGACCATCAACATCAAATAAAATTTGCTATAAATACATTGATCAATGAATTCTAAACGGAATAACAAAGAAGCTATTACTAAGCCGTTTTGCTGTTTAGATGGCTATTCAAGATGTAAATTATGTTTCATCAAGCAAATTTTTCTCAGACATGGTCACAGGTTCAAATCCCACCTGGAGCTCAGATTTTTTTCCAGAGAAAAAATCGTTTGATGAAACAATTCACATTAAAAAAATCGTTTTACGTATTCTTGTACATCATTTTAATACCTACCAAGTAATGGTAGATGATCCCTGTACAATGAACYTCCTTTGCCATCACTAATGACCTTCAGATCAGACTACAATGCAATGACATGTTATTAGACCACTAACAGACTGAGTATAAAAAATAAAAACATATTGAATCACTCTTGATTTGATAGAAATCTGGGAATAAAATATCCCTCCCCTAATCCCATTTCATCTTTCTCCCTACTGGGAAAAGTGCTTTAATTAATTATTTTGTTGCAATCAATGCAGACAGCTGGGAAATAGCCACCGTCAAACTGGGGTGTCATGAAGCCTGTGAAAATTGACCAGCAAAAAATAAAAACATGCTGCCATTGCAATAAAAATATATAGCTCATTGGCTATTGTGGTACTGTTATTAACCTCTTATTAGCAATGTTATAAAGTTTGATTTTTACTACTGGTATGTACTGATCCTGTAAAATCAACTAAGCTGATGCTTGTCACCATGGCAACATAGAGAACAGAGGTCATAATATGCAATATTGAATCATTTTTCCAAAGCATTTGAATTTTTTTTAATGAAATATTTTAAATAAAAATAGAACACGCTTACCATCCCTTCAAAGCCAACCCTATAAAGATTCTTTGCTCCATTATCCCAGATGATGTATGCCGCACTACGAGGACTGTTGGCACTCCAATCCTGGAGTTCTGTAACTTTACCACGTCGACCAGGACCACCTTCCAAAGAAAAAGATAATTCATGGACCACTCTATATTAGAATCTATTATGATAATTATAATATTATAAGACTTACCATCCTGGTCTTCCCATTGCCAGTCTACTCCTCTAACAACTCGTGCACCAGGGTATATCCCACGTGCTGTGATCTTTTTGCTCTTCCTTCTAGCTTCAACAAGAATTCTGAAAAAAAACAGAATTATTCATCTTTGTTTACATGTACAATAATAATATGATAATTTAATATAATAATAATAATAATAATTTAATACTTATATTGTGAGTATAATATAGGAAGATGCTTATACTCACATTACAAACTGATTAAAATAAGTAACTTCCTAGAAATATAAATTATGATCTAAACATACCATGTAGACCCATTGCATGGACCCCAAAGCAGCGCAACCAACAACAACTGCTGTACTTACTTCCAAATTAATGGTCATTTTATTCTTCCCACCAGGAAATATTTTTCAAATTATGGCAAAAACTTTTTTTACTGCTATGTACAAGAAACCACCCTTAAAAATTGTTCAAAATTGTTTTCCAGGAGGTTTCCAGAGTAATATATAAATTCCAGGGCCCTTAACTTTTAAACTGTATGCAAAAATAGTGAGAGTTTTAAWTTCAAATAAGCAACTACAATGTAAGTATTGGCAGAGAAACCACTTTTACTTTTACTTTCATTTGTCTATATTTAGCTTATTATTACTAGTTATAGCTATTGCTAAAGTGTCAACGAGCAAACTTGTTTTCCAGATTAAATTAACAGGATAGTTTAGAGATTGCTTGTGGGGTAAAATTCTTACAAGTAAAAACTGCTTGTTGACAAATGCTTTAAAATAGAGTAATTATTACTTACAGTGAACATCAAGTTATTATTTAGTTTTTACCTTTCTGCACCTGGTTGACTGATTCTGTAAAATCGATGTCTAAGCTGATGCTTGTCACCATGGTAACATAGAGAGCAGAGGTCATAATTGTTACATTCAGCGCACTTCCACCTTAACCCAAAAATAGGCTGCATACGACATCCATCGCACATAGTCCCATCATGTTTAATGCCTGTAAATACAATGACAAATGCGATCACTTTAACAAAGGTATCTTGGACTATGCGCACAATACTACTTTTGAGTCTTTAATCAGCATATATGAAGACATAAGGTTCTGTAAAGTTTTACAGTCTCCACATGTATTTGAATGAATGTCATTGACATTTCAGCTCCTGTTGCTATAAGATATCATGACAAAACAATGATTGTGAAAAAGGCATTCAACAGAATACTCTAAGCTCTACCTACATTTATACATGTAGAAGCTGTCGATAGAGTAAACAATAAGAAAACAACCCTAAATCGGCTTAGTAATTTTACTCAAACCAAAAAAACCCTGATCAATTCATAAAGTTAAAGACGTTGTAGATAGAAAAGAATGACTGAACAACTAATCTAAAAAAGGCTAGGTTTTTGATAATCATTCAAAATCAATGAAAGCCTTAGGTAAACTCACTCCGACATTAATTAAAACTTAATCCCATATAAGTCTATCTGCTTCTGCACTGACAATATTTAAGGATAATCAAAAGTCGATTAATGTTATATACCCCATGTGTATAAGTAAATATTCTATTTTATTCAAACTTTGTACAAAATATTTCAATGCTTCAAGAATTATTGTAACCTTTAGCTTCCTCTTTATATCATGCCTGTAAAAACTTTTGTCATTTCAGGAACAAAGATAGTGTTTTCCTATTGTTATTTTGATCAAAGGCATAATTACGTACTTTTATTAATTTTGTAGGATAATTAAAAACTCATGGAAAATAACTACAGAAAAACATGCTAGTAAATAGTATCCACGTCTTAGACGACGGAATTGAAGCTGAAGGGCTCAAAGTAAAAAATATCATCTGAATTTTAATGGTAAGTTTTAAAACGTCATTGGCAAAAAAAAGCATTATTAACTTGGGATTAAGTATATACAACTTAAAAATCAGCAGRGTTTTAATTTAAGAAAATGATTATACTTGAGTATAAAAGCAAAAATGTGATAGACTAAAGCAGTTAAGAATTTTATRAGCTTTTATAAATAAAGTAACATTTAGTAGACCCCTAAAGATGCGTACTCATTTAGGCTCACAAAAGATGTTTTAATTTGTAAACACTTCACAAGATATAATTTTTTGAACTCAAAATTTTCTAGCTATAAGTTAATATGATCATAACAAAAAATCGTTTAAAAGGTAGAGAAAATTTTGGCTGTTTATTTATTTTTTGTCGTCAGGAACTTATTTCCATTTGTGACATTTTCCTACAAGCTGTAAGCATTTTGAATGTGATAGAGTCAGTTCGTAAAAGCGATATTTTAAAACTCTTTTTCGTTTCTATTTTGCGTGTTTATTGATCATACAAGCGTTAAACATGATGAACAATTGTTTATAAAGCTAGAAAGTACAACAAGTAGGATACATATGCTCGTTATTAAATTTATAAAAGAAATTCTTCACTTATGGCTTCCATCAGATAACATGGCGTACGACACACTGTACTCAGATCTTTGGTGAATTCATTTAAAAGCAAAGGCTATTATTGTCTTCATTTTAGTTAGAACTATCATTTATAATAGTATATTTTTACCGGTTGGACTGCTGTCTAAGATCCTTAAGTCATAAACACCAGAGCATCGATAGTTGGCGGCAGTACCATTATCCCAAACAACCACAACTTCTTGGTTGCTCTCAAAGTTTCTCACCGTACCCACATGACCTTCGCCTCCATCTTGCTTTCCCCACTTCCAGTCAGGCCCTCGTACAACACGGTAGCCTACAAGGTCCATCATGAAGACAGAAAAACAGAGAAAATGGAGATTTTTCTAAAATTTGTCTCAACTTTCATGTCGCCATGTTTGACAGTCTCTTCCTTCTTCCTTGCAACTCTCTGCATAGGGGAATGGTTACGAAATACAATTTACTTCCGGTTACTTATTTACTTCCGGTATTCCAAAATCGAAAATCTTCTTTGCTCAAGCTCATTTAGTTTAGCACAATTTTTCTTAAAAATCAAAATTCATTACAAATATCATAAAATTAACTTTAATATAAAATTAAGAAATATTTCGTTTTGTCTTACGTGGCCTCTCACGGTTGCTAAGTAACCCTAATTGACAGCTCAAATTATTAATGAAAATGTCATTACCAGTGACTAGACTAATAGCTTTTGACTTAACATTAGCATAAATTCTTTCGTCTCCAGTGTGTACAGTCGCTAGGGTTAGAGCAGCACTTCAATACTAAGCTTTAAAATACAGACACGTCAATGCCAAAAAACTGGAAACATTTGGTGGTTTGAGTCTATGTTTAATAAGGCAAGGTAAGTCAAGGTGTCTGAGAGAGGCAGAGAGGTTTGTTTACCTCATATTGGCCCTTTAAAGTTCGCGGAATTTAGTATCTAACTATTACTAAATTAAATCACTGTGTATAAATTAGAAAGCGACCATATGCTATTATTTTCAATCTTAGCATACGAAGAAATCTTTCAATTTACTGAATGGGTTCTCGCGTTTCTATGACTAGCCAGATCAGAGTTTAAGTTAACTCGAGCTCTCAATGATTATACATCTTGATCCATAACGATCTCAGTCACTTCAAAAAAGCTTTTTATGTACCGTTATCTTAGGTTAAAATGTTATCATTCATGCTATGCCAGCCCCCTTACGTCGTAGATTTTTATTTTAGCGATTTTGGCCTCGTTAGTTGCATGGTTCCTATAATATTCCTATTGTGTAGACAGTACAATGTACTTTTAGCTAATGCTAAACGATGTGCTTACTTCTTTTGTCCCATGTACAACCAAAACAATGGGAGCGAATGAAGAACCACTTAGCTTCGCATTTGTCGTAATTAGTCTTGCTAATAGTCTGCTTAACACCACAGTATGCTGGTATTAGGATGAATTTTTTATTGTAAATTTAAACTTAAAGATTGAAGAAGGCCGAAGTGACATCGATATAAATTGTCAGTATACCAAAAAGCACAGGAAGCCCATGCCTGGTTTTTGTGTCATTATATCATAGTACCATTCATTGCCTGACGAGGGAATTATATAAAGAAATAAACATAATCATCACCACCGGTCTAATAGTGAACTACTTTTTTTAAGATGATGAACGAACTGGTCCTTCATGAAGCAGCTTCGACAGGAGCCTACCAAGATCTTCAGACAATGCTCATGTTGGGTCATATTGATCCAAATTACATGGATGAAGATTTTGGAGACAGGACAGCTCTGCATTGGGCTTGCACCAAAGGTACAATTATCGCATTTGCATGTGCTTTATTGGGCTTTCCTTTTATAGATAAGAATAACGAATAATATTGAGATATTCTGCCGTGCAAGTGTGAAAAGATGCACTGGGGAAACACAGGTAGCATAGCGGTGATGGAACGCTCTCTTCCCTGCAATGCGACCCCAGCCACTTGTTGGTTCTCTCCTGTGCTTCGATGGTTTTCTCCCCGGTTCTCTGTTTTTCCTCTCCGTAAAAATCAGCTTCTATATTCCAATTTGAAATGAGTGAAAGAACAGCAACTCTGTGGAATTAATTTCAATTTCCTAGTATTTAATCGATATTATTAAATGTGCATTGTGATTGTTTAGTTTACACGGTGCGGCACGATAGGACTTGGAGTCGTGGGTTATGGCGTATTGTGATATTGTGCGTTGTGGCATCATTTGCCGAGTTGTGATGCTGCGTGGTGTGTTTTAATGCAGTGTAATGCGCTCTGATGCGTTCTGGATGCGCGGTCATTAGCATAGCGCGGTGTTCTAGTATTGCGTACGGCATACTGCACGTTGTGGCACGATAGGACGCGGCGTCGTGGGTTGATGGCGCAATGAATGGCTTGCGGTGTGGTATTTTCGGAGACGCGATGCTGTGCGGTTTGCTGTTTAATGCAGACCGCGTTCTTGACGTAGGTTCATTAGTATGGGGCGGTGTGGTGTAGTGCTTTACACGTTGCAGCGCGATAGAACGCAGTCGTGGGTTATTATTATTGTTATTTCTCAYTAACTAAAAGTTTTTAATTTGGTCCGTTTTCTTCGAAAATTTTGTAAGTCTTATACCCCATTCACACCAAGGCTTAAACATGTTTAAAAGTGGTTTAACTAAACAGGTTTGGAAAACTATCTACGAACACTGCGCAGTATTTGGTAAAATAATGCATGTAAAATTTCCTTTGTCTTGCTCTGACAATATTTTAGAAAGTTTCATTATATTGTAGGTTTCCAGTTWCTCAATTTTTTTCCTAATGAAAACCTAGTTAACTAAACACGTTTAGTTGTGAATGGGGTATTGGTTATCAAAATGTATTACGCATGTTGAATTTGGTATCCAAGTGACCGCTGGCCACAATAATACTGGCTTGAAAAAAGAGAAAAAGCTGCTGGCCAATCACAGCGCGCGACTTTCGTCAAAACATTTCAGATGTAGTTTAGGCTTTCCTTACGATGCGGCAAGAATTACTATGAAAGTTTGAACGTTCTTTAGAAAAACTCTTTGGCTAACACAGTGGACGGACAATCATCGAACTCCTATTAGTCGGCAGCCATGTTTTTTTCCTGTACTGACAAACTCATTATCCGCTTTACACCGTTATAACTATTCTAAGTTTTGCTTTGATTGTTTGTCTTTCCTATTAATAAAACTATTTTGTCCAGGAAAATCCATTTGATTTTAAATTGCAAAGCACTAGATTTTGTGTGCGTTCATAAGTAAATAAGGAACAATAAAGAACAATGTGCAATTCTCTTGGGACAACTCTTCTAATCCTTCAAAAACCCACATCAATTCGCTATAAACAATATGTATTTTTTCTTTGAATCAATTCGATGCGTCTAATGAGCTTCTAAATCATGCTCTAAGTGAATATACTGACAAAGATAAGCTTGTAAAGCAATACCACTCAAAATGAAAATGTACGCTCCATAAATGGACGTCTTAAGAAGTAAACACTGGTTCAAATTCCTAAAGATTTCAGAAGTTTTTTCAGAAGCAAAAGTTTCGCACGTGAAGATGAATATCAACATCAATGGGTTTCACGATCTTTTCCTTCACGAAATATGCGCCTTGGGCGACACGATCAAACTTGAAGAGTTAGGAAACTTTGTTCGTAAGCGAAAGATTGATGTGAATGTAGAAGACGAGGAATGTGGAAATAGAGTTGCTATGCACTGGTCTGCTTCAAGGGGTAAGCTCTTATTAAAATGTAAACGTAAAAAAACGTAATTCATTTTAGGACGAACATTCATGGACTGATTGCTCGATAAAGCACTCGATGCCAGATTGAATTTGAGTTAGGACTGGATTTCATTTGTGAGGGAGGAAAATCGAAGATCCGGACAAAACCCTCGAAGCACAGATGAGAACTAACAAACACCTCTACTTACATAAGAGGAGCCAAATTATTGGTGTTATTTGGTGCTGTTCTGGTTAATTACACTGAATAAATATCAAATCAAAGTCGCTGTAATGCGGTGGAATATTTACTTACAGTAAGATTGTGTACAACAAATGACGTTATGATCGATGAAAAATACTTCACCTCTACGTGTGACTTAAAGCAGTATTGTCGACTCTCGGGTCAGAATTGCCTCGCGATAGGACAATCGCGACACAAACTGACGGATTGCGATTTTGAGCCACCAAAAGGCGTTAGAAGAAAATATATCCCGTATTGGCCTTGGTCGCTCCCAACTAGCTAATATAAACCCAAATTGGTGGCTCAAAATCACAATAATTATAAAGTCTTGTCATCCAATATATGGAAAACGGGCGCTTTCGATTTACCTGCAAACCGGAAATTCTGGTTGGAAAAACAAATGGTATATCTCGTATCGATAGGAAAGTTCTAGAACACTCGGTCTTCCGATTGAGGTMATCTACTTTTCCCATTCTTTTTGGTTATTTCGGTAGACGCGTGTACTATTTTTTGAAAGTCAAAGTTTCCCGCTCTTTTCTTACCATTAGCGAATGAATTTTCAACCGGATGGATTGGTTTAGATGGTAAATGGTTATTATCATAGCGAGTTTTCTTGTCATACAATATGGCGGAACTAGTCCTATGAATTCTCGGTGCTTATCCTACTGAGCCCGGCTACATTTCCGTTTACTGTCTTTTTGCTGAAATGAATTTATTTCCTTCCAGGCCACGCCAAATGCGTCAAGCTTCTTCTGGAGTACGGTGCTGACCCGGCAGCGAGGATGGTTGGAGGATGGACCCCAGCACACTGCGCGGCAGAGACTGGCAAGTACACTGTCCTCAAGATACTAGTAGACCACAATGCACCTGTGACACTTCCTGATGACTATGGTGATACCCCAAGAAGAGTGACAGAAATCTATGGACACACGCAGTGTGTGGAGCTTCTAAAAAGGTAGAATCCACCCTCTTGTTTTCCGTGTCTTTATATTATTACATTTTTACTCCGGAATCATTTTGAGAATATACCTTTGAGTAAGTCCCATCAATGGTAGAGATTTACGTACGTCCATACAAATTTCGTCCAACTTCTAAAATGCTAGACACCCTCTCTTTTTCAACATTTTTATTTTTCCATATTTTCTTCTTGAGTCCCTTGTTCTCCGAGAATACGTACCGATAGAGTTGACTTATAAGTTCCCTAAATAATATAGAGATTTATTTACGACGTACGACGGACGACCACGCAAATTTCGTCCAACTTCTTAGATGGACACCCTGTTTTTGTCAATGAGTCTTTATACTTTTAGGTGACGATTCGGGGTATCCAATTAGTCCTCTCAGAGCAGGATTTCCCAGTTTAGTAGCTTGGCAGTACAGTGCGTAGAACTAGATCTAGAACTTCTAAACTCTAGACACTCTCACTTTGTCGATATCTTCATATCTGCCTCTCTAACACCACGGGGTCTCGTAGAATACTAAAGCTTTAGCTATGAGTCCCCTTGGAGCCTGATTTCTCAGTTTAGTRGCTTGGCAGTACAGTGCATAGAACTAGATCTAGAACTTTTAAACTCTAGACACTCTTACTTTGTCGATATTTTCTTATCTGCCTCTCTAACACCACGGGGTCTCATATAATACTAAAGCTTTAACTATGAGTCCGGTCGGAGCCTGATTTCCCAGTTAAGTAGCTTGGCATTTTCTAAAGGTGCATGTCTATTATTTCAGTGCTGAAGAAACCTGCGAACAAAAGAAACACGAAGTTAAGGAGAAATTCAGAAGCCAGACGCGTAAAATATCGAGAATGTTGGGCGAAAAGAAACAAGAAGAAGAACAAACAGATAAAACAACTAAGGGGAATCAGTAACAGCAGTGAGGCTTGAGCTGACGAATTCTCGTATCAGAAGCCATCACTTGCAACACCCTTTGGCTAAGAACGCAGACGAAAACTGTAGTGAAATTTCGCACGAGTTTCCCAATGCAGTGCTCGTTCTGGGCCCTTTTAGAAATGCGTCTGATGTTCATGTATTTTATCTCAGCGATTTTTTCATCACGCCAGGCCTCTCTATAGCGCAAATTAAAACTGTAGTGCAATTTCGCACGGGTTACCCAATTTGGCACTTGTCCTGGGGCTTCTAAAAATGCGTGTGCTTTGCGCGCATCTTTCTCAAAAACAGTAAAGCAAGCTGTAGACGTGTGTTCACCAAAGCGTACTGTCTAGTGCACCGCTATTTCTTTACGTTGAAAAATGCGTGGGAAATAGCTATTGATTGATTGTCTAGTGCCAATTAATTCAACACTGGCAGGGTGCATTGACCTTGACTTTAAGCTTAATGAATAACCCTTATTCTCAGGATTATTGCGCATTCAACCGAACCTGGAAATGAATGACGGCGACCAACGAACTCACTACAAGATTTTTGGAGCAAAAAATACTAATAAAATGCACAGAATTTCGGTTTATTTCATATGAAAGTCATATTGAATCCCGCCACTCATTTCAGTTCCGGAATCCTCTATATGGGGCGACCATTATAAAGGTCTAAGCATCTCAATTGTGTTGTTTTGAAATGCAGATCAAAATATATATTCAAGAATTTTAATAATTTAGTTCTTTTGTTCGTTAACCTTGGGTTTCTCCTGAAGGTCGCCTTTACTATTCGGACGTGGAGTCTTAGGTAAGGAAGGTGGCGTTCATGTCGTATATCGGTAGGGAGAGGGTTGAGAAGGGGTTATTATTTTTAGAGGGCTGCCGAAGAAGAAGAGATCATTAATTTATTTTTCTGACCGGTAAAAAAACAAAATAAAATAAGATGAGGAAAAGCGTAATATAAAAATGGTAGCATATTCTAGGTATCAAGAGAGCTAAAGTTGAGAAAATATATTCTGCGCCGGTCGTAGAAGTTATTTCCTCTGAAAGTCATCCAACATCCAACAGGCTAAGTTACCCCTTGCCAATCCAAGATAACATCTTACGAGTTCGTGTGTGAGCTTGAATTGTCTGTCGAATGCACAGTGAAATCGTTTCAGAAGTGCAGTTTATTAGTGCCGTTGATTTCGCAATTAAAACAGCGTGTTGCCTATTCAAACTATATATAGGTGCTATTATTTATTTATTTATTTATTAACAACCTTTCTGATGAAATCTTTGGTAAAGTTTTCCACATGGGGTATTTCACTCATGCTGTTACACTGTTATAAGATTTCGAGACACTTTGAGAAGGGTACACACTAAGCCGGATGAGAAATGCAAAGATAGTAAAATAGAAGCATTTTTTGTTGGTTTTGTTGGTACACCAACATGGCTGCTATGACGTCACGTGAAAACTCTATAGGAAGTGCATTGACGTATGACGTCATCTAGGATTAAGGCGGGAGAATTTTACGACTGTTCCAAGGTTATCTACACGTGTCTAATGGTTACAAATCTGTAATAAGAAATACTTGACAGTTAATAAAAGTTTGCCTTCTTTTGTATTGCCCAATGGACTCTTCTCAGGGTGAACGGTTTTGACGTCATTAATGATTAAAAACCATGGACCATGATAATACAATGTGACGTCATTTCCTTGACAATAAGATTCTTTGTTTGAGTTTCATCAATACGCGCATGGCCACCGAAAAAATGACCAGTGTCAAGCATTACTGGTAAAGAAAGGGATTAATTAATAGAGAGTTTTAGATTTACGTTCACGGCAAACTTGAAACGTCAGTTGACCAGTAAAGAATCCTTTTAAATGACTGAAAAAGAATCGCAAAAAAGTCCAAGTAGTAGAAAAACAAAAGAGTATTTGCGCTTCGTGAGGTTTGTAAATAGTAAAGTAAAATACAGGAAAACTATGAAAACGTGGTCACGTTTGCCGTTTGCGGGGAGAAAAAAAAGTCAATCTAAAACTCTCTAATACTCAATAATACTTGTGGTATAATCAGTATTGTAAGCCATAAATTTACCCATACAGGTTGGTTAGGAAGTAACGAAAAGAAACAAAGAGGTTTTTGCACTACAAACATAAATAAAATCAAAAATAAAGTTTGATAAAGTATAGGAAAGTTAGGCCCCCTCGCGCGTTCTTCTCGTTCTTCTATAACCCACGCTGAAACTTGAGCATCAATGTGTTTCTCGCAAATTCAGAAGACAAAACTATATAAAGGAGACCGTCTATCTTGTCTGGTTTATTTTTACTCCGGTCGGTCAGAGTTTTAAAAACAAACATTTGCCATTCTGGTGTAACTTTGGTACAAACAACACCATATACGAGTCTTTAAAAACAAACATTCATCGTTCTGGTGTAACTTTGGTACAAACAACACCATATAAGGCATGATGAATATTGAATTTTTCAGTTGTCGTTCCAGCTACATATATTGATTATTTTCCGAGCTTTCGGATCTTAGATCCATCATCAGGGAATAAGGTGTTACAATCGAAAAATAAACGACTAAATTGATCACATGCTAAATGGAGTGAAAAAATATATAACTGCTATCTGCGTGAGCTGGAAAAACCTACAATGCGCGCGCATAAATAGATTTATATACTATTATAAAAAGTGGAAAAATATGAAAGAATAATGAATAAAAAATGAATATTCTTCACTTGTGGTCCAATGTCTTCATGTACAACAAATTTCAAACGACCTCAAGGGATAGTTAGAAAAAATGTCTGTACAGAACATAGAGCACTGAGAAAGAAGATGAATCACTTGCAGCTAGTGATGAAACTTTTGCATACTTATTTATAGGAATGAACTTGTGGAGTGGAGGGGTTAGGAGAAGATGGGAGTGGGGAGGCTAGGGACACTGAGGAATCTAACACTGAATAAACTGCAATAAATCATACTACTTTATGTAACAAAATACCAACTGAGGACAGACTTCGATTTCACAAAATAGCAAAAGCATCCAGATTAAATTTGACAACCACTTTCAACTTTCTAGATGAAACGATAAGAAACGATAAAGATGGATCAACTTTTGACTCTCGCGTTTCTAAATCAGGCAATAGCTTTATTTAGGACACGCTATGGGATGACATAGCGAAAACCTTTGAATATGCGAAAATAGAAAAGTCTTTGGATATGAACTTCGTATTAGGAGCTACAGTGTTTATCCGTAAATATCGACACGCATGTTTTAATAAAAACAAAGTAGGATCAATATTGATGGCTTTTCGCGATGATCCATGGCAGTTTTGTGCTGCCTCTAATAGCATACAATGTGTACACAACTATGAACAACACCGTATGTTTGTGAATTCCACGAATTGAATAGTTAAGATGCGTTGCCTTAGTCTTGATCTCATCTCTAAAGTAAACAACTGATGGAGAGAAAAAAACCCAAGTGCTGTTCAAAGGAATTGCCATTTTTAAATCATGATTGACATTTCCTATTAATTTCCATATGCAAAAAATGCTATATTTAGAAACGTTCTCTTCTTGACCAAGCCCAAGTTCTGCCGTCGGCTTGCAAAGATTGCTTGCAAAATTGTTGCAACACCACCAAAACTGAAGTTCTAATTTGTTAACAAGTTAAGGCAAGACCATTGGCGAGAGCAGTGTACATTTACTTTTGGCTCGGCTCTGCATGCTTCTGTGATTATATCATGGTTATTTATATAGGCGTCTCAATATTATTGATGAGTGAATTTTAGATGGCACTCTGCCAGTGCTTAGTTCAATAGCACTTCTTATATCGACTTAAAAGTCTGCGCCGCTAACTCATCCCAATAGAATGCGACGTGAATCGGTGACATTTATAGTGGACCAAGCTGCCATCAACTATTTATTTGTCTAAGTATTTGTGAATTTTAAATTCAGTTTCGTTCCAAGGCCATCTTGAATGTAAATCAAAGAATATTAATTTTCATAAACGTAATACTTATGAGAAATTCAGAACACGACAACACCTGACCTTGAAGAAATAGAATAGCTCAGTTTTTGAAATCTGTCGGAGTGTTTGAGTCCCTGTGGGCATACCTTCGTACTTGTGAGTGACTTCTAATCGGAAACGACAATCTCGTTAGCCGAAAACATGTTTAAATATAGTGGCCCACCTTGCCCTTGGCTATTTAACATTTTATGGTTGGTCAATATTGTTGTCGTTAACCAACAATGAAAGTCGAGACTTAGTCGAGACACTGGTGCGCAAAGACTGACAAAATGTTTTAAATCTATCTCTTTCCCTTCTGACGATTCTCAATGGCCGCAACAATCGACAAATACCATCAGAGATTGAGGGGGGAAATGTTTCCTTGAATAGTAGGAAAAAAGAAAGAGAAAAAAATAGGTTTCAATTTCTTTATTTTTTTCGCCAACTGAATTTAGTCACAATACTGTAACGGATCATGCCAGCAATTTCCATTTATCTCCGTCCACACCCATTTGCTTACTAATGTTTAAAGTTATCAATTATCAAACTTTATAAGGCATTGGYTCACTTTCATGGGAGGTACGGTTCGTCGCTTAATCAAATATACCTCGGTAAAMAACTTATATTCGTCTTCTATATTGGATAGCAATACTTGACTTGACGTTTTCTATCCAATCATATATTCATAATTAGCGCACGCGATCCACACAGGCCCGTCTAAAAACATCCTTAGAAATTACGTCAACTTACATTTAACGAAGATTGCTATAAATAAAATATAAAATCTCCACGTTTTCGGTTACAAAATCAAACGGTATAGAATGTTTTTTAAAGTTGGATACGATTTTTCATTCAGTTTTCAAATCATAAATTTGGTTTTCGTTGTTTACTTTGTTAAGTTAGATAGAATAGAATTAAGTCCAAGTTAGTTTTGTTCAGTTCAGATAAAATTTCCATAAAATATTTGGGTTCAAAATCAGTAAAAAACTCTTGCTGATAGACGTTCATCAATGTTGGTAGTGTTTCGTTTGTCTTTTGATCGTTCAGTGTTCTCCTTGTTGTTAGAGCAATGTTCATTGATAATGGAAGACTTTTAGGCTTTATGGATCGCCAATTAAAGTCAAAGCCGTATTTCTCAAACTTCAGAACATTAGTTCTTGCATTAGATTCTTGAAATTCTCTTATAAGCCTTCTTAAAAGCTGTGTTTCTGCACTTTTGAGGCCCGTTACATAGGACCAAATTATTTTCTTGCATTCAAGACAATGTCTATTGTGGAATTCATTTGCAATGTCCTCATTGTCTACGACCTGGTTTCGACGTAAATTGTATTGTTCTTTGGGCGCAATGTCAAGCCAAATTTTTCTTCCATGGGTTCTTCAGTGCCATTGCGCAACTTGAGCTTTTGAACAAGAGTACCGATCAGAATAAACAGTGCTGACTTGGCAAAACCTTCTCCCGGACATTTCCTATCTCCTTCAGAGAATGCAACCATACACGAATGTGGCTTGATTTTTTGCTGTTTCTTGTCCATGAAGCGAATGGGATTAAACTTGAAAGGCTCCTCAAAGTATTCGGGATCGTGGCAGCACGCCCAGAGGTTTACAAAAACTACTGTATCTTTAGGGATCTTGTATCCGCCCACGCGCGTGTCTCGGATGGTACAATGGGGCAAGGCAAATGGCAAAAAGCAGCTTCGACGAAGGACCTCCATCACGGTAGCCTCAAGAAGTGGCAATCGTTTCTTGTCGTTGAGGGAAATTCTTTCTGATCCTTTCACGTGCTTGATCTCTCTGCATAACTGTTCCTGAGCATCGGGGTAGGCCACGAGGTAGGCAATGCACCATCTCAGGGCGGTACTCAGCTTCTCATAGCCCCCTCCGAATGAATCAGCCATCAGGTGCACAATATTGTCATCGTCAAATTCTCCAATGAGCGCTTGTTCCATGTCGTGCTCAGGAAGTTCATCTAACTTGTTTTTCCTGTCATGAACCAATTTGGTTAGATAATCAGACACAATTGTGTCGTTGTCGCTTTTTTCGCCCATATTGGTCATTTCTTCTTGGAGGCGCGCGGTGTACATCGTCTTGACAAACTTGACAAGACTTCTCACGGTCTCATCCACTTTTAGCACTTGCTTGTGAAAAACTGTTTTGACCCACGGCATAAAATCAACTGTATTTCCGACAGCACTGCCTTCAATGAAATCAGTTGATCGGGACATCAGTTCACAGGCTTCTCTGAGATGCTTCTTGCGAAGTTGCGCTCCAAAAAACATCCTTAGCATTATACTTGCAGAAACCGAAAGAAGATGTCTTGCTGGATTGAACTTTTCTTTTTGGGAGCTGAGCAGGCTCTGCACGAGTGATTCTCCTTCGAGCTGGGCTATTTCTGAAAATGCTTCGCTGTCACTCGTCAGCGCTTGCAAGGCTTGGTCCATGGCCCTTCTGTTATTGGTGTATTTCGATCCAAAGTCTGTAAACGCCACATTTCGGCCTCCATTGCTGGAGACGAGGAAAGTGTGGAGCGGAGGCCTTCCCGAGAAGTCGGACGCACGCTTAACAAGAGCCTCTTTCACAACATCTACAGAGTTCAGAATTACCACGTCACGACTGCCAAGCTTCATGGAAAAAACCTTGCCATAGTGCTTGGAAAGATTGGTGACGTTCTTGTGGGGTGATGCACCAAATAGGAAGATGTTGCCAACCACTGGAAGACTCCACGGTCCTGGAGGAAGAATTTTTCGGTTACCTCTCGGCGATGACAGAAAAAACATTCCGACGCACACAGCAGTCACAAAAGTAACAATGTACACGACCAAAAAATTTTCTGGCAGCAGAGATGTCAGGAATTGTTGGGCCATTTTTGTTGGCGTGTTTCTCTTTCAGCGTTTTTCTTGTTGTGTTGTTGAAAAAAATATGTATCCGAGCAAGGATTGCTCTTCGATCGTTTGGCTATTCTATGAGTAGAACTCGACTGATGCACTGTGAGCCACACAGCGGATTATATGTAGGATGGTTTACGCTCCACTGCATCTATCGATCAACCTATGACAAGTACTCAGTTGCCGTCCAAGGTGAGCTTCAGGACTCGCTCGAATGCGCTTCAAAACAACATCTCAAGGTCAAGTTAGAGAGTCGGCTTTAACAACGGATCCATAGAAGATAAACATGCAAGAATAGCAATACGTGACCTTATCCCGTAACGAGAGCGAACAAACCCAAGGCCAACTTGTTCAAGTCCTCAAGATATCTGAGATATTGAAACAAAGTTTTACAGCTCTTTTATCGGCCGCAGTTATTTGAATGATGGAACTTGTCCAAAACACTTCTCTCAAGTTCTTCAATAAACGTTCTTTTAATTTTATTCGAATACAATTTGCCTAGGAATTATTGTATTAAAAATTTATCAACTATTAATATTTTTTATCTAATACAGTTAAAATTGGTAAAACATCTGCCTTTAACCTAGAATGATATCTGTGCTCTCTATGAACTTTCAAAAAACATCAAAATCACACATAACAAAGGTTTTAGTCCAAAGTTAATTTTATCACCGATTCTTGTCTATTAATTCAATGCACAAGCTTAAAGGTTCTATTTAAATACAATACAAGTTCCAAAAGACAAAAGCACGGATATAAAATCTTTAGTAATTCATGGATTCGAGAAAAGAGATGCATTAGGTTATTGTCTCGTTCACAGTGAACGTGAATAGTCCTTTTATTTGATAGCTATTAATATTTCTTATCAATCACAGTTGAAATTGGTAAAACGTCCTAAGAACCTAGAATTATCTGCGCTCTCTATGAACTTTCAAAAGTAATCAAAACCAAACAAAGCACAGGTTTAGTTCAAAGTTCATATTGTTGAAACATGACGTAATGAGTCTGCGTATGTGGTGGAAAAAGTTTAATGAACTTTCAAAAAGAAAAACAGTGAAATTCAAAGTTGCTCAAAAATTGTAAATCATGCAGGCGCCGTGTCCTTAGAAGTCTTTAAGTTATGATTTTAAGCATGACGATACAGTTTTAAGAGGCGAAATAAGTACAAATAGCTTTTCTGCTCGTGTCATCCTGGGAGATGTGAGAGAGTGAATGAATGACCTCTTTCCTTCAGATTTGATTCCTACAGACGCCGTATCCGTATGAATGCTTTCATTTCCAGCTTAATGCATGGAATGCAACGTTGAGGGGAAGGAAAGAACAAGAAGGTTTCGTGGTAAAGTTTGCATCATCTAGAGAGGTGTTAGTGAGTAAATGAATGACCTCATTCATTCAACAAGAAAACAAACATCGAAGACTCTTCATGAGAATCGAGGAAAACAACAGAAATTATTTTTGGTTCAAGCTGAGAGAAGTAATTTAAGGGAACTTTCTGGAACTTTTTAAATTCGAGGTTCACTTCACTTGATCAATAATCTTTGTGATAAATCCACTCCCAAATGAAAACATGTGAATGCAACCCTTGACTTAATAATGCTGTACTGTTTACGAGCCATGGACACATCAGTGACTCGGAACTGTGATCCATGCAAGTATAAATTATATTCCCAAAACTAAACTCGGAGTTATCGCAAGAAAACTACTTTTTAGAATCCTTGATCATGGAGTATAGATAGGAGAAGGGTAGCCTTTTAGCTTCGCCCAGAGTCGAAACAAATTAAAATTTTCACACAGTAATTATAGACATCAATTTTAAGTAAACAACAGAGCTGATATTTTTTACATAATTCTTCATGGAACGCGATGGAAAAGAGATAGCTGAAGATCTCTTTCTTGTAAAAACGTTTTAAAAGAAATAGAAAAAGGCGCTTGAAGTCTGGAATATGGTGTATTTTTTTTATTTTGATAACGATCGGACAACCTTATCTTTTGTTATTTTTTTAAAAACACATCAACACAATCGTAAATGTATAAAGAATACAAGACATAACAACTCCGTTAATGAAATCCTTGGTTGGGAACTTAGTCACTTGAAAGCGTTTCCCTAAGATATTATTTACTTAAGGCTGGACTTAACGCTAGCTGATAAACTTTACTATGAAAGTGCAACTTATTAATGAAACTGGAATAATTTTGGATCAAACAACGAATCTCAACTGACATCGATCTAAAAAACATTATTGTAAAACATATTTAGCGTGTGAATATTCTTATTTGAACTTGATTTAAAGAAATTATCTTGTCAAAAAAAAAAAAAAAAAAAAAAAAAAAAAAAAAAAAAAAAAAAAAAAAAAACCAGACAAAAATTTGAACAATATAATGTAGGGGGAAAAATAGAAGCACCGAATGAGATGTCATAAATGTCCAAGAAAAACGAGAAAGATCGGAGATTTAAAGTCTTATCTATATTTAATATTGAAGGCTGTAGATGGAAATGAGTCGATTGAGGTTATTCAGAATCGCGTTTCCTGTTTGTTTTCCAAGGGCCGGACAAGCTAGCCTTGCACTGGGATTATATTACTGCATGCAGCCATTCTTTGTCTTTTTAAAATTCTTCATGATATCGTATACCCTTTTGAAGAGTAGGGCCGCTACTTGGAGGTATCTAAGGAGCGGCGTCGTTATGTCTTCTGCATAAGCCACACTGAGCTTGTTGGGGTCCTTGGGTTAATTACGATAGGTGAAGCAAATCTTCGGAGAGCAAGAATCCACCAGATATAAATTTTTGTATTAGATTCAGTATAAGAGTCAATCAGCCACTCTGACAACCTGTCGACCTGCAAAATGTTTTCCCCAATGGTATCAGTTTTACGTCTGGCGGAATTAAAAGAAGTTATTATCAGTTTAAACTTTTTGGATTTCTGCACTTCCCAAGGTCATGGCCATAGACAGTGTCCACGTGACACGCAGGCCCATGCCACGTGATCAGTCGTGATTCTGGTGTTGTCTGCATAAAACTAAACAAAGTTCGCCTTTATTTGCTTTTCCTGTAGGTTTTTTTTAACTAAACAGAAAGACAAAACTAGTTGTCTAGGAATATAATTGGCGGAAAGAAAACGCAAGAGAAGTAGGGTTATGCTGTGAAGAATTGCGTGCGTAGGCCAGAAGGAATGTAGAATCACGGAACTACTTTTGCGACTTCGATGATTACTCTTCCATTAAACACGTAGAACACGGCATGTCGTGCAACTTCATCAGATTAAATCCATTTTTTGCGCCAAAGTCAAGAAAAGTGAAGAACACGTTGACAAAATCAGACCAGTAATGTCCCAATAAAGGAATAAGCGTCTGATAACATCTTTTTTATGTTTCTTGAAGTTTTCATGTACTCCCCTAGCAGATTATCATAAACGTGTGGAATATTTGAGATGTTGAGAAAGCCAGAAAGAGATTTAGTTGAAGAGGTTTTGGATTGTTTATGACAACCAGAGAATATTGGGCACATTCTGCCAAGGTCTTGATTTGGAAATCGTGCAGCACCTTATATTTCGTAAGTTGCTGTGCACAACCTTGACCCATCATCTTCCCCGATATTCATTCCTTGCCTCTTGCCCCAAACTACCTTGGCCCTGCCATGCACCACGGCCTTGTTTCACTAGTCATGAAGAAGAACACACAAATTCTTTTTAAAAAATTATCATGGAACTCGTATTTGCATAATGGGAAAACAAGGCAAGCACTGACAAGAGAAACGTACTGGGTGGCATCAACGGCCTTATTTCACTAGTCATGTAGAAGAACACACAAATTCTTTTTAAAAAGTTATCATGGAAACTCGTATCTGTATATTGGAACAGGAAGGCAAACACTGACAAGAGAAACGTTCTTGGTGGCATTCTACGGCATTTTTTCACTAGTCATGTAGAAGAACACACAAATCCTTAAAAAAAATCTTTAATCATGAAACTCGTGTTTGTACAATGGCAACACTAAGAGGAAAGCACTGACAAGAGCAACGTACTGTGGGATCAGAACCTGCAGATGACGACTAAGGATATACACTAATAAAGCAAGCAACAAGAAATGTAAAAAGTGGCACTCATGTGCCCTAAAGAACTACTCCACTGCCTATTGTGTCGAAAGAATAAAATATCTACTGAGTTGTAAGGTCTAATACACCAAACGAATGGAAACGTTTTTCAGTAGCTTGATTGTTTTATTCGTATCTCTTATTTCATTTTCAGCTCTTGATAGGTTGTTGCAAGCTACACTGCCCGGAATAAGCTCTGCATGATCGTAGGATGTGATGTCATACTTGCAAAGCGTAATCTTTCGTCTGCTTAAATCTTGGTGGGGTCTCTCAGTGCCTGTTCCCACTAATCGTGTAGGCTGATACGGGAAATCGCGTTTACTTCCTTCCCCGCTGCCTCCGCTCAGCGCAGAGACTCGGAAGAAAAAGGACTGCAACCAGTTTCTCAAACAGCAATGACAATTTTCAAAAGGAAATTTGTGCTTCGGACCTAGATTTAAATTCAGCTGGAATACAGACTTCTACCTCTTCACGAGAGGCCGAGCTGCACTACGACAAAGTTTGACGAGTCAGGCAATTTAGCACGAGCTAGAAAAGACTTTGTTTTTTCTCAAATTCAATAAAAAACCTTTTTACAAGTTTCATGCTGACATTCACAATGGCTTAGTAAGCAATTCCGGTATAAATGCTTTGAATATGATTTAGTTTTGCAAAGAGGAACCGAACCGAGAACAATCTATATCCAAGTAGAACTAGTCATTCTGCGGTATTTTTCATAAGAGGATTTCTGATATCAAAACGTCAAAATGTTCCACAAAACCCAATATCGAGTAGTCGTATCCAAAAAATAAAAACATACAGAACTTTAGGGTTAAAAACGTTAACTTTCCCAAGGTCACGAACAAAAAGTTATCAAAACTTTCGTTGTGTTGAGCAATCAAGGTCAAACCGGAACTAGGAGGGGGAGGGCTTAGGATGGCTTGTAACTTACAGAGAAAACTTCCAGAGCGATTTGATTTCAGCGTAGTACATTGTTATGTTCGACCAGTAACGTGGAGATTCTTTAACGGGAATACAAACGTGCTACAAGAAAAACATTGGAAACGCCGATCATTTCGCAGGCTCCTTAAACGTGCCTCACACCACAACGAATATTGAAATGATTTATTTATAAAGTCCTATACTATTTGCATGTCACTGTGTATTCAGTGGACCAAATTGAATGCCAAATACTTGAGATCTGCACGTAAGAAATAAGATGACTGCGCGCACGTGCTTGCTTACTCGATACCAAGCATGAAAACTTTACACGTTACCCTTGGAACATCAATTYGAGGGCAGGATGAATCTTTGGTGCATTTTACTCTGCATAATTTCTAAAAAATGCTTTCAAATGCTTTAAACCAAAAAAACCAGTGTATTGATGGAATTGCCATGTTTACACGTTTGGGATGCTGAATTGGCTAGTGACAGGTTCGAGTTCGGCACTTAACAAAACTGTTGCAGAATCATTGAAATTTGGCGTTTGATTCAGTTTTCTAAGAATAACGATCACATTGCTAAAAATATCTCTCGAAATGACTTTGGAAGGCGATAAAAACTCCATATATCGATAACTTGAAGATAAATTTATTAAGGAATTTTTCTTTTTACAATTTCACGTATTTCATTTTAAAAAAATAATTTTATTTGAGCTTCAAGTTCACTGCTTGGGCTACCTATGATGTTGCAAGTACATGTAGCATACCAAGCCCGAAATTGCACCATCAGCACAAAGATATGAAATATTTCCAAAATCTGTCTGCACACTTTTCCGGTATATTTTCTTCTAGTGTGATGACATGAATATAACACACTGATTTCAAGCTTAGTAAGGCCCTGGCTAAACGAGGAAACGAGTTTCCAGAAACATTTTTCCCGCGCGCATGTTCCCGATGTTTCAATTTTGGGCACATGCGAAACATTGCTACGTGCAACAAATTTTGCTTCCAAGACGCATGGAAACAATGTTTTCCTCGTTTAGCCACGAAAGCCAACATCCTAAAAGTGCGCGGTTACTTAGCAACGCCAGCTCTATCTTGAAAGTGCGCATACGCTAACCGATGTTGAGCAATCATGTTTCCCGATGTTCCCTGACGGTTTTGGCACCTTTGGAAACATTTAAGAAAACATGTTTCTGGAAACATGTTTCCTCGTTTAGCCAGGGCCTAAGCAACAAGCAAGATGCAAGATGCAAGATGCAACAAACCTTTCGTACGGTAACCGTACGCCGACAATTTCTATTCGTACGGATATTCAAATAGTGTGGGACTTTGGTTTTCCTCACTTAGAAAAAAAAATTCAATGGCAGGCATGATTCGAACCCGGCACCCTTGGCACCAAATGTAGTCTGCGACTCCCCCAGGGGACTTTTACTCTTAACCAATCTTCCTCGGCCAATCGACATGGACAGACAGACGGACAGTGACCGAGGGAAATGGAGGTCCTTAGACTGCTCGCAGAGTCTACATAGTTATTACAAATGCCTTTCTCAACCCTACCCTAAACATAACCACTCAGCCACGAAATGAATTCGCTGCGATGCTTTCCAATTTTTTGTCATATTCAAAACAATATCAAAATATTTAAACATCCGTAGGTAAGAATAGAAATTGCGAGTCGCCGCGTACGGTTACAAAATGGTTAGTAGGAACCAAAGGAGAAAGTATGGCATGGTAGTGTAATAAATAGTTTAAAAAATGCTACAGTAGGAATCATGAACATTCTATCAGAGTGTGCGATGTCCTTTCTTTACAAGAATGAATGGGATCAACAGCTTCAGTGGGGTTGTAACTAACTTCATAATCCATCAAAGATATAGATTTTCCCCAGTTTTTCCCGTACCAAGAAGTCAGTAGCTTTTCCCACGAACGAGGCACCGCGAACGAAAAACCGTCAAACTTTAGCGTCCTTAAAGGAAATATGTCCCTCTCGGAGTAGTAGTGTGGTCCTTTTAGATTACGTAACCAAGGTAATTTTGATGTATACGAATCTAGAATGCTTCCTTTCGTGTCTTTCTTGAGGACTGCTATATCCATAAAGAGTCCATTTTCTTGAGTTCTGAGTAAACAGCTTTTCGTATCGATTAACTTTGCTCTTATAATCGAGTTAGGATGTTTCTTCTTTTCAGGCGTAAGTTCGAGAACTGTATTATTAACTTGCAGCGGTACTTTCAGAAGCTTTTGAATATCATTTTGAAATACAGCAATTTCGATATTTGGAAAGTCGGCGGGTACATGTCCTTTACATCTGGCTGCAGCTAAAAGACTTTTCTTATATAAAAAGTAAATGAGATTAGTTTTACTTGCCGCTAAACTAAACTGTCGAAGAAGTCGAGTCAGAACCAAGCGAGCTTGAGATAAACAACTTGAACTTGAGTGTCGAGAGTCCGTGCACTGATGAAGATCACATCGAAACAGGTCTGCGTAAGAAAGTGGTTCTTTGTTGTAAGGGTACTCTCTCTGAGTCATATAAGTAATCACACTTAAAAAAATCCATAAAGAGCTGATGTAAAATAAGCTGAAAAGCCTACGTCTTGCCATCTTCTTAACTGCTTGTTGGCAATCGAATTCAATACATATTATTCACCTCACATGTAATGTACCTCAAGCGTATAATCAACAAACGCAAACAGGAATAATAAAGAGGTACCTGGACTATAAAGACGAGAAAAGGCAAACGTTGAAAAAAAAAAAAAAAAAAAAAAAAAAAAAAAAAAAAAAAAAAAAAAAAAAAAAAAATCAAATAAGATATAGTTTTAGAAACCTTACCAGTAGTAATATTTACTTAAAAAATGAATGCATACATAATTAAAGACACCAGAAAAAAGCTGGAAAACATTCAGTTCGATACAATAATAAAATGTAAATATGTTTCTCAAAAGGCATACTTTAAAAGCCGTGAGGATTATAACCTTTAGAGAAACGCATTTTTAAATTCAAGTAACATGATTCACCCCTGAAAGTCAAGTAACAGTAAATGTAAATGGCCTTCTTGAAATTAAACTTCCCTCGGGCAATGTATATGTGATATTTGATTAGTAATGAAATCATTATATATATGTAAAGCAAAATAACGCAGAAGTCTTTAGAAATATCAAAAGTGCGTACTTAGAAGTCATTCCTTTTGATATGTCGTCGTCCAATGCAACGACGAACGACTGAAACTCATCGTGAGCATTTTTTAATTAGTTCTAGAATTTTTTCACGTTTGGTCGCTGTTTCTTGGCTGAATAGCCAATTTAATTAAAATGCGTACTGTGCATTTGAGAGAGCTTTGTTCGAACAACCTTTTATACGATGGAAAACAGTGTTCCACTCGATTTATTTCGGACATGGTTCGTAAAATGCGCTATAGTAACTAGTAGATTTTTTACTAGTAAATAAGCTCCGGGTCTTACAGGAACTTCTTGAAAATGGGCAGTCAAAATTTATCGAACTTGCACTCTTAAAAAAATGATCATGGCAAGGTCCAACAAGGTCCAATATTTTGGAATTCGCTTCCATCAGATATTCAGAATAAATCGTACTTCTACTCATTTAAAAATAATTTGAAAAAATATTTATTACACAATATTTGACTTTTAACATCTTTAATACAAAAGCCTGGATAATTTCTGCGCATTGTATGCAAGAAATATTATTAGTACAGTTTATTTATTCATATATCTATGTAACATATACAGTATGAGTGGCCGTGTTGTATCAGATATTGTATCGAGGCGTAGCCGAGAGTTTGTAGTGCAGATTTCGTATGACTGTGAAAAGTTCAGTTCCGTGCCGCAACCGTGATGTTTATTAGAATTTTGATTGGCTTTCTTTTCTCTTGCTCAATGTGATTGATTTAGCAGTGCCGTGTCCTTGTCGTGACCGTGTCCGCGTCGTGTTCGTGTCTTGCCGCGACCGTGATTTTTTTTAGATTTTTGATTGGCTTGGTCTTTGTTCGTGCCGTGAGCTTTTCACAGTCATACGAAAACTGCTCTATATCGGATACAACACGGACACGAATACTGTATATTACTTATCAAACGTCTAGGTTAGTTCCTTTGTGTTTCACTAAAACTTTCAAAATTAAAGTGAATCTGGCCAAGAAATTCCAACTTAAAGTTTATGCAAATAAACACAGTTTTGTATCAGATTTACAACAGAATAGAATAGAATAGAATATAGAATAGAACTTTATTTGTGCCCTCTGATTTGCAAATGAATTATCAAATATTTTGGAGATTACAATAAACATTTGAGGAACCACTTGCTACCTAAAAATAGTAATGCTAATCAAAGTTAGGTAGCAAATTGGTCTTGGTTCTGTTTGATAATTGTTACAATAAGTATAGAAAT